TGTCGTCGAACACCCGGACAATGTGAATGTTGTCGGGTGCAAGTGGGTATTCCGCATTAAACAAAACACTGATAAGGAGATTGAGAAGTACAAGGCACGCTTAGTGGCAAAAGGGTACTCACAGGTGTATGGTCTTGATTACTACGACACCTACGCGCCAGTCGCGCGCCTTGCCTCCCTCCGAACGATCCTCGCTGTAGCAGCGCGACAGGATTGGGACATCGATGTTTTTGATTTTCATAGCGCGTTCCTAAATGGGAAGTTAGACGCTGATGAAGTAATCTATATGGAACTCCCACCTGGTTTGAGCGTTGACAAGAATTTCAAACGCCCCGTTGCCCGACTCCACGTTGCCTTATACGGATCCAAGCAAGGCGCACTAAAATGGTATCAAGAGCTATGCCGGCTCCTGTTTAGTCTGGGGATGAAGAGAGCCGAATCAGATTGGGGTGTGTTTTACAAACACACAGACACTGACATAATCGTCCTAGCATCACATGTCAACGATTGTACAGTGACTGGGAGCAACAAGGAACTCGTTGCAGCCTTCAAGAAAGACGTAGCAGCGCGCTACAGATTAACGGACCTCGGTCCCGTAGCATCGCTATTAGGTATGAAAGTCACCCGCGACCGACATGCACGCACCATTTCTTTTTCCCACGAATCATATATCAACTCTATCCTTGCTAAGTACAATTTTACGGACTTTAAGCCTTGCTCGATCCCCATGGACCCAAACGTACCATTGTCCACGTCGCAATCGCCAAAGACGCCTGCGGAGACCAGCTTCATGAAGAACATTCCGTATCATGAGGCCGTCGGGTCACTGATGCATTTAGCTGTCGGAACGCATCCAGATATCATGTTCGCAGTCTCAACTGTCGCACAGTACAGCTCGAACCCAGGCATGCCGCATTGGGAAGCTGTGAAAAAGATTTACCGGTACTTGGTGTGCACGAAGAAGTTCGCACTCACTTTCGGCGATGGAAAACGTGGACTCGAAGGCTTCGCAGATGCGGATGGCGCCTTGCAAGAGCACAGGCATGCGGTGTCCGGATACGCTTTCATTCTGGACGGAGGGGCTGTAAGCTGGAGCTCGAAGAAGCAAGAGTTAGTCACGTTGTCCACGATGGAAGCTGAGTATGTCGCAGCTACGCACGCTGCTAAAGAAGCAATTTGGCTTCGTCGATTTATTACCGAAATCTTTCGCCCGCTCACACAACCAATCACACTCTATTCCGACAATCAATCAGCCATCGCCCTCGCCAATTCTGGCGTGTTTCACGCGCGCACAAAACACATCGATATTCATTACCATTTCATTCGTTTTTCTGTTGAAAATGGCTCTATTTCTCTCATTTACTGTCCTACTGATAGTATGACTGCAGACACACTCACCAAGCCCCTCCCTAGTCTCAAAGCTAAACATTTTGCCTCTGCCCTCGGCCTACGCTCGGTTTGAGGGGGAGTGTTGTATATCAATCCTCGTAACTATGGACCTTTGGTACCGTTTTATTTCTACCTACATACAAATACCATTTGTTCCCGCATCTCGCAACCTTCCTCAGTTGACTTCGCACGTCTGCTGAGGTTAGTAGTATATTCATATACATGTCATGTACCTAACTAACAATCCCTGTAGCTGAGCTGCTACAGGTATATACCAATACATTATAGTTGACTTCGCACGTCTGCTGAGCTGAGCTGCTACATCTATCGTGGCCCAGTCATTGCTCACCGTTTGCAAACAGTGAGTGTGTTGATTCTCATTCAAGCAAGAGCCATGCTGATCCAAGTCGTTGCCCACCGTTCACAGGAAGTGAGTGTCGATTCACGTTTGAGCAAGTGTCATGCTGATCCCATCCTCTCATGTCCATCTCTCGCACTTTTGTACTTATAGCAGCGCAATCGTTTGTTTTGCTCACATGTACTGTACTATTAGAATACCTCATTTTAATGATCATTGATTTGTTGCAAAAAGTCCGTCTAGTGTTGTCTAAGAATGTCAAAAAAGTCTTCACCAGTGGTGTCTAAGCCTGCCAGAGTGTTCTAATTTTCTCAGATTAGCAATAGACTTTTGTTAATTTTCATAAAATAATTCGAGGTAATATAGCCCTGGCTAGCCTTCCAATCTGTCCAATTAGGATAACTTTCTCTAATTAGATCTAACTTTCTTTAACTAGATCTAATTTTACTAGGTTTGCATGGGAGGGTTTTCCTGATGCAGACCCGCGGGTCATATAGTATTTTGAGGTATACATGGCAAGTAACTTAATTAAGTAGAACTACTACGCTTCCTCTTCTTCGTCTTCATCACCACCCTGAGGAGGTCCTGCGTATCTATGAGATCATGGCGAGACCAGGAACCAAGACATAAGAAAGCGCGAATTGAATAGTGTTCTGTATTTCTTCACAACCCATTGGCCTTTTAACTCGTACAGAATCTGGGTACCACAAACTATTGCTTCTGTCCGAGCACATGGAATATCATTTCACTGGCAAATCAGCATAGCTGGTGCCATCGATTATCACTCTGATTCGACATTGCTACTCAATGTACCTGCGGTCGAAGTTCACATGGTGACAGCTCAGGAGGTTATTTATGAGTAATTAAATTTTGACCCTCGCACCCTCGGACAAGTCAAGGATCCACACCTGTCCAACACCGTAAACCGCGACGGGTATGCACGGTGTACGTGCGGGTCTCCATAATCCACACCGTACCCGTACCCGCCACACCCGTCAGCGATAAACCGCAGGTTTACCCGTACCCGTGCTCTACCCTAATTATGGCCCACATGCCGTTTGAGCAGTGTTTCTACCGCCAGTGGCCAACAATCACCTGAAATAGAAGGTGGCTCCCGGATCTGTTTGTAGCCTCTGGAAATTCACTGCGTTTTGGGTTGAAGTCACTGGGACTGAGCAGCAGGAAATTGGGCGTCAAAATTGCAAGCATAACGTGGTGTGGGAAGAACCTGTAAGTGCCCCCATTTGGGCACTAGCACACACCCGTTCTGCCTTCGGCACAGGAAGCAAAAAAGAGCGCTTTGTGCTCTTTTTTTAGCTTCCTGGCCTCAGCTTCATCCCAATAATTCTGAGGGCATCTAGGAACTAGATAAAGGCCGAGCTTTGCCGGCAGCAACCTTGTACCATTAGATGGGACCGAGTTTCATATGGAGGAACTTTCTTTACAATTTCAATAGGCTTTGTTGTGGCAAGGATTTCGTACAATATTACATAGTGAAATACAGCTATTTACAGAGGACATATGATGTCGTGATCCTTTAGTATTTCAGTGAAGAATTTCGAGCATATTGGCAATAGAAAGTACAATGAATGATGATTTGCATAGTAAATGCAATGTTACTGGTAGTATAACATCAGTAAAGTTGGAACCTCGATGATCAAAGTGGAGACCTACTACAACTTTTAAGATGAAGACCCAGAACTTCTGATTGGTTGTTTTCCTTTGTATTGTCGTTCTGTGCAAGGCCTGGCTCCAAGACAATGACATTTGAAAGGGCTTGTTGGCATGGCTGATGGTGGCAATAATACAATTAGTTCTTGTAAGATTGCATTAAAAACATCATGTTTTGATTTGGCGATGTGATGGTGGCAGAATGCCATATGGACTTTGACGAGGGCTCCTTTAAGTTTCGATTCATAAAGGTGTGGTGGGATAAGATTGTGATTCTCGTCATATGCAGGTAACAGCTGGATATCATGGGTGGATATAAGGTCTTCTAAATGACCTTTACATCGTTCTGCAACCGGCCAAGTTGCCATGTTGAATTCGGGGCCAAGAAAACTATCTGCAGTTATGAACAAAATTAGTTAAGTCAGTAAGTCAATGATCAAGTTGGAGGATGTTTGTAACATACTGTCTGAGTCGACATCGTCACTTGGAATGATGCTATTAGTAGCATCAGGTTTATTCACATTGTCTATTGTTTTAACCTATTTTATGGTATATTCAGTCTTTTGGGCAGATTGATGAGGAATAGGAAGTACTTACTTCAAAGAGACTGTGAGTGAGCTTGATGGATCTGTGGCCAAGAGAGTCATAGATGACACTGAATGTTTCATAGTCCTTTTTGCTGGGAACAAGTCTTTCGAAGGCGCGGAAATTGTCGAGAACTGTGGGGAAATCATCTGACAAGAACTTGAAGTTCTCATTTTGACCTCCAGTAAGCCGACAATTCAATTTGACATCTGCTAAGCGTCTGTGAAAGACATTTGCAGGATCAAAGTTGGCATCCAGTGTGAAATAGAGGTCGTTGCGACTGATTTGGAATACACCCTGGGTGATGAATTCTTGGTCGTCATCTCGACCTTTGACAACAAGGATGTTGCCATCATATCCACCTGCAAAAAACTTGGCGCAATATGCAAGTTTAGGCATTGCAGCATAGAAACCTCCAGGTGGGTTTTGTAGTTTGTCTAGTACTACAGAAGCTGCATGAGTCGATGTATACGGGTAGTACTACTAGATGATGAATTGGGGGGAGTGTTTGGAGCCATGTAGGATGCGATTTGCAATGGTTGCAAACTACAGAGACATTGGAGCTTGTTTGGTGTATTTTTATGAGGAAAGTTGATTATGATCCGCATAGGGACTGAAGTGGTTGCAATGCAAACATATATATGATCCGGTCCTCATCTAAACTTGAAAAGTATTTTACCAGGGAAGTCAAGGTTTCAATCCATGTTGATCGGCATGAATTGTGAATTTAAAAGTAGAAGGACAAAGCCATGAATGTATTTGGTTTAGTGGCCAAAGGCATGTGACAGTGTTGAGTGCAATTAAACTTAATCAATTATAATGGAAGAAACTGAAGTTGGAAAAGACTGACAGGAAACCACGTAACTTGGAATTGAAACGTAAAACAATACTTGTCATTGCTTGAGGCCAGGGAGATGAAGATCTGTAAAAGAGAGCTAGAGACATGATGAGAGACTTCATTCTTGAAAGTTGAAACCATTTGATTCACTGTGGTGCAATGGGGCATGACAACAATACCAGAGAAATTGTTGGTGACTTGACGAAGGCAGAACTGGTCGCTGTGGTTCCTGGAAATATGTTTAGGACAAATATTCAAAAGCAGGCATGGTCGCAGGTGATGGATACTGTGTGCAAATTGCCTGACCACATTTTGGATATGATACATCAAGCTGCAGAGAGGAAAGATGAGGAACACGAGAAGGAGCGCAAGAAAAAAGCTGAGAGGAAAAGGATTGCTAGCAGACTTCAACGTGAAGCACAGAAGAGTGTTGATGAAGTTGATTTTGAACAATATGATCATGATGCTCATGTCGATGAGCATGATTATTCAAAGTATCTTGGATTACCTTCAGAACAGGAGATAAAAAAGTGTTTCCAAGCATACATATCGGGGACTTCAAATGGAGCTCTTGCAATGTTGATTTGCATTGTTTGCACTTGGGAATTGATGAAGTCTGAAGGTGCTGGACGGCAATTCTGGAACATGTAAATTTTGACATTGATATTTTGCTGTGTAAATGTCACACAGGCGACATGCATCATCTGTGTAGGATACCGAATATCAGGCAGTGGCTTTCTGTATCAATGGACATGGTACCTGCTGCAGCAATGTTATGGGAAGGGTTGTTGTTACTCGAAGGACATGTTAAAGGAGAGGCACCTGACACAACAGGCTGGATTTGTTCTGAATGTTGTCGATCACTGGAAGCTGATACGATGCCCAAATTTGCACTCGCAAATAACATGTGGATTGGCCCAATTCCACATGAACTCGTAGTTCTCACCCTCCCCAAGGAACTGTTACTTTCACGACACTTTCCTCGATGTTACATCTTCAAATTATATCCAAAGGACAGTCGACACATAAATCCTAGTCATTTGCAGCAGGGGATGGCTGGAAATGTCACTTTGTATGACATGAACACCAATGATGTTATGAAGATGGTTGAAGGTCAATTCTTACCACAACCAGTTGCTTCTCTGGCGTCTGTGCTTGCAATAACATATGTTGGGACTAGAAATTTGCCCAAGGACTGGCTAAAATCAACATTTCGTGTTTGACATGACGTTGTGTTCAATGCCCTTACCTGGTTGAAGGCCCACAATCCACTTTATGTCAATATTCAAATATCAGAGGTGCAACTTGCACGTCTCCCAGAAGATGATGTCCCACAAGAGATTGTTTCTGTTGTCCGTCACGAGGCCAGTGATGATGTCGCAATATGAGAGAATGAAGGATATGTGCCTACAGACAATGAGGTTAGAAATGGTGTGTGTTGCAGTTCAGTGAAGATCACCATTTAACATGTTGGAATTTATTAGACAATGACATTCCTAATTTGGAGAGTGAAGGAGATAATTTTGGGAAAGATAGCATTGATAACAATGGTGAATATCTCTATGTTTTTGGATGAGTAAGTTATTGATAAAGTGTATTAGACGCACACGTTATTCCATTGAAGTTCTTGGGTGTTACAGACAGAACTGAGTACACTGCCATTGAACGAATTGATGAAACACGCGCTTATAAATCTCGATGAAGTGTCTGATAAGGAAGGGAGCTATGCTGTTTGCCATAGCCATTACCCTGTGTCTGATTTTGGATGAAATCAATCTGGAGAAGATAGGAAGAATCCACTTGCTGCGACATATCCCAAACTGTTTCCTTATGGTGTTGGTGGAATAGAGGATACACGTGGAAAATTGGTTGGTTTCGATGAGCATGTGCGATGGGCCTTACAATATCATGATTGTCGTTTCCAAATCCACCATTCATTTCCATTTGTCATTTTTGGCATGGAGCAGAAGTGTAAAGCATTGCAATCAGCTTGGATTCAGATGTGTCACAAGGACTTTGAATGTGATGGATATATCATCAATTCTATCACTGTTTCTGACCTTAAACAAGCAGAGAAAGAGGAAGCAGAACACAGAAAGATATCTAATCCTCGAGTTCATCTTCTTCGGAAACATGTATTTGTGGTGTCGAGACGTATCATGGGGTCTGACAATTATCGGGGTCAATATTGTGGATTTATATGGGGAACATGTCTGTGTCTTCATGGTCTAAGTCTTTGGATGACAATCAATCCCAGTGACACACATGATCCAGTTGCACAGGTTTTTGCTGGGGAGCAGATCAATATGGATGAATTTTTTCCTGATGCTGGTCCAGATAGCAATCGCTGGGCTCAAAACATTGCCAAAGATCCTTTTGCCGCTGTGAAGTACTTCTTCTTCATTATCAAGGCAGTGCTTTCAACACTCTTTCAGATTGATGTCAGAGGAAATCGGGTGCATAGTGGGATGGGGATGCTTGGGCACATTAGTGGTTATTTTGCGTAATTGAAGCTCAAGGAAGAGGATCTTTGCATGTGCATATGATGATTTGGCTTCAACATATGCCAAATATGCACGACATGCATGTTCAATTGCAGAATGGGGAATTTCGCACACGAATCAACAAGTATATTTGGCAGAACATTCGAGCACATGTTGAAGGATTGAATGAAGAAACAATTCGAACAATGCCAAGGGAAAGCAACTTGCCATATTCACGACCCCCAGATCCAGATTCCAGTAATTGGAGTATCAAAAATCAAGCAATCAAATGATGTGTAGTCAGGTCTCAACAAGTTCATACCTGTAGCAGGGCAACTTGTTTGAGATTCAATCAGCACAGACAGTTGGTCTGCAAGAGATGTGCTCCTTGGTTACTGTCACCCACTGATATTGTTGATGAACATGGTAGATAGAATCCAAAATGAACATATGCATTTCTCAACAACTTTTGTCCTGCGATAACTATGACTCTTCGCTGCAACAATGATATCAAACTCCTCACCAATGAAAGAGATACAAAGGACATCACATGGTACTTTACAGACTACTCGACCAAGAAGCAGAATAAGAACAACAATGTGTCTGCTTTGATGGCAGGTACATTGTTATATCATCAGGATCATTCAAATCATCTTGATGATGTGGTCTGTCATATCCCGCATTCCGGACCAACATCTGACGACGTTCCCACGCCTCATCCGGACCTCCGGACCTCCTGTCCATGTCTCCAGACCCAATCCTCTATCCGTCCGAATCCCTGTACTCCTGCATCTGATATCCGGATGCCAGATCTGATATCCACATCTCCGGATCTCCGGATCCGACCTATCTGTCATGTCCGAACCCAAACCTTAAATCAGCGCCCATCCCCTTATGGTAATCACCTGTCTCCGGACTTCCGAACATCCGGATCCGACCCATGTCTATCTTCCTTGCGTTCCGGACCCAGACCTATCACGCATTCATCTCCGGACATCCGGATCCGACCCGCGTCTATCTTCCGTGCCTTATCCCTTTGTATGTTCCTTCTTGAGTTAGACTTCCTCATTTTCCGTACCTCATTTCATCTCCGAGTTCATTTCTTATGATCCGTCTTATTTTCTAATACATTTCCACATGCTCGTACATAGCCTTACCCCTCTGCTTACTGATCTGCACAGACTTGCCTCTAGTATATAAACCCCAGTAGATACTCCTGTATTTCCTCAGTCTGAATATCATACACATATTAGTCCTCGCACTAGCCTTCACCCTAAGTCCTCGTAACAGTTCTAGTCCTCCGACTTAGTCATTATCCATCTCAGGCCTAGGGAGGAATTCCCTAGGCCGGAGCTCCGCTCCTCCGCTCCTCCGCTCCTCCGCTCCTCCGACCCACCATTCCTCCGATCCTCCAAAGTTTCCGGAAGTTCCTCCGGAACTTTCCCGCGGTCCTCCGGACCTATTCTGCTTCGGACTTTGTCCTTGCAGCCTTTCCTCTGTTTCCTTCTACTCAGGACTTGTCCTGAGTAGCCATTATACATATCCCCGTCAGGACAAAACTCCATCGTAATTTCCGGAAGTTCCTCCGGAACTTTCCCGCACTCATCCGGAAGTTTCTCGCACTCGTCCGGAAAGTCCTTCCGAAGTTTCCCACGCTTCTCCGGAAGTCCTTCGGACTTCACTGGACTTTCTCCGGACATCATTCTGAAGTTAAGGGCACATACTCGGGTAAGGGGCGCAGCGCACAAGCTGAAGCCAAGCCCCTTGGAATCAGTCCTACCCTTTGTGCACGGTCTTAACATGGTCGATCATAACCATCTGTTACTCCTCCGTTGCCAGCATTCTATCAATCGTGAAATGGAACATTCGGGACCACAAGTAATTGTGTACCTTATGGGATGGGGAGATGCAATATATTCGCACCATTATGTACCATTATATTGATTTGCACTCAAGTCTCATTTGCTGTGGGCATTTTCTGAATTGAATTTGAACAAAGAAAAGTAAGTCTTTGTTAGATTTTTCAATAACACATGTGCTGATTAAATCTGATTTACAGTGACGAACCTGATTCCGATATGAATACTGCAAGTGATGAAGACTCCAATTCAGATGATACAAGTGATTCAGAGAGTCGGGCAGAGACCAAAAACAGACGGCATTGTTCAGATGACAATGAAGATGCACTGGTATGTTTCTGCAATATATTATGTTAGGTGGTGTAATGGAATAACTCAAATAACATGTAGGACATGATTACATTGCATCTTAACAATGCCGGACATCTTAATATGTGTTCACAATTAGAAGATTACAAACAGCGAGGAGAAGAACTCAACTCATATTCATATTTTCAGTTTGTGATCGACACATATGAAGAAGTGAACCCACCTTCAGAATGGGAGAAACAAGAACATGAAGTTTCTGCATCATCTTTGATTCCAAAGTGTGGTCTACCAAGGAATGAACGGAGCCATTACCTCAATGATCATTCCAAATATCGCACCCATCGCCGAGTTATTCAATCAAAGGGTCATAATACACTGCCTAATATCGTTGGACCATTTTTTCCTCGAGGCGATGAGTGAAAAAGTCAAAAACTATACTGTGCATCAATTCTTGCACTGCTTGTACCATGGTGCATTGTTGAAGATCTGAAAAGCGACTTCAAGAGATGGGAAGATGCATACACAGATTTTTTCAACCACGCATCACAGCAAGAAAAGGATGTTATTGCTGGCATTCAGTATTATTATGAATGCAAGACAGCTGCAGTTGTTTCGCTGGTTCACAATAGCGAAAACTTCACATCTGCCAGACACCATACCAAATCAAGAGGCCAACAAGCTGCAATCATTGATGAAGAGGATGAAGAGGAGGAGACAGCTGTTAATTTGATGATTGATGATTTGCATGCATATGAAGAATCCCAGAAATCTCATTGTGAAGAAGTGCATGGGATGAATGTAGTTGCAGTTGGATTTTTGACAGGAATTTTTCCAGAGAAAATGAATTTCTGGGATGTTGTTGCATCAAATGTTGGTATTGCAAGTGGGAATGATTATGTCCAGCTTCAAAAGTGGCAAGCTGCAATGGCTGATGAAATGAACAAGGAAGAAGATCAAGCTATTCCTGCAGCTGACCTTGGAGACGTCACCATGATAGACAGACTGCACGAAGATAATGATGAAGGACAAATATCATACCTCCAGCCTTCAGTTCAAGAACATATATCTCCAGTCGAATCATTGTGTCTTTTGAAGGATCAAAGACATGCCTATGACATCATCAATTGGCACCTGTCTGAAACATTGGCAGGACACAAACCTCCGCAGCTGCTTATGCAAATTCCAGGAGAAGGAGGTGTTGGAAAATCAAAGACGATCCAAACCATTACCAAAAACTTTCAGAGCTGAGGTGTTGAATCCATACTTGTGAAGGCAGCCTATACTGGAATTGCAACTTTCATCATTGATGGAAAGACTCTACACATCATTGCATTGATACCTCTTAATGGTCACGAACAAGGAGCCCAGACATTGAGGAAACTCATATTTTGGAAAGACAAGCTATACCTCATCATTGATGAGAAGTCCATGCTATCTCGCAAGTTCTTGGTGAAAATATCTGCATATGTTGCGAAAGGAAAGTCTTTGGCTGGTGAAGAAGGAAATGACCAAGCCTTTGGAGGAGTCAATGTCATTATCACTGGAGATTTTCACCAATTTCCACCAGTAGCAGTGAAAAAGAGTGCGGCTCTGTATTATCCTTGCGATTCATCAAAAGACACTGCGGAGGAAATGCTGGGTCGGAAAATTTATGAGCAATTTACAACTGTTGTTTGTCTCAAGGAACAAATTCGTGTTACCGATCCAGAATGGAATGATCTTTTGCATCATATCCGGCATAGCAGTTGTTGCAGTCACCATGTTCAGCTGCTCTGCTCACTTGTTCTAACAAATCCTCATTGTCCACCAACTGACTTCAATTCTCCTCCATGGAATGACGCAGTCTTGATTACGCCTTGCAATGCAGTACGTCGCCAGTGGAACTTGAATATGACAAAGAATCATTGCCAAAGGAGTGGAAATCGACTTTTTGTGTGCAAGGCAAAAGATACCATTCAAGGGCGGGAGTTGACATTGATGAAGAGATACGCAGTCGCAACAAAGCCCAGTGGGAGAAATGCTAAACAAGACGAACGAGCAGCTTTGCCAAATGTTATCAAACTTGCAGTTGGAGTGAAGGTCATGGTCACCTTCAATGTCGACACAGAGCTCAATGTTGCAAATGGAGCATGAGGAGAAGTAAAGGAGATTATATTGGATGAACGCGAGAGCAATTAATGCTGCCAAGTGGTGGACTTTCCCCATTCAATGTATATGTCGCACTTTCTCGAGGACATGTCAGGAGAATATACAGCTTCTATGCAATTTTGACAAGAAGTTGCTAACAACTCACCCAAGTGAATATCTTCGTATTGAAGACCAACAGATTGTGAAGCTTGACCGGATAACAGAGCAGTGGTGGGATTCAAAGAAGCAGGAAGCCATTATATATTGATTGTGGCAAGATCCATGCCATTCAGAGTTGGACAAACATGGAGGACATTGAGATGTTGTACTAGTATTATATCCAGTTGTACAAGTTAAGAACTTGCACGAAGCACCTAGAGAATATGAAATGTGATTTGGACAGTGCAAACTCCACCTTTCTACACTGTTCGCCACCCAGTACACCAAAGGCAGTTACTACGTGAGCAGGGTAGAGCAGCAAATACCATGAAATGTTGGCACACTCTTCGATCATTGAAGAAATGGTGTGTTGTCCTTAAATTCGCATGCATGCAGTACTAGCATTAATGTCAATAAAGTCTCACGGGGAGAAAAAGTGGGAACGTACAGCCACAATTATGGGCTGATAATGACCTTGTAGGTACAAGGTAATTCGAATTTCTGGTGGAGTAGGGGGTTCTAGGGCTACTAGATCAGCAAAAGTGCCCAAATCTGGCAAGGGCCGGAGAATCTCCCATGACCTCGTGATGCCTTCTGAGGCATGAATCGATTCGTTTGACAACATGCAAGATGTGCCTGCTCATCTCGCAAGGCATTGCTAGACTCTCTCAACCTCATGCCAGCCTTGCAAGGCATTTCAAGACTGGCATTGTCTAGGATGGGGATGCAAGGGAAACTTCAACTGTGTGGGCAATGGTACATTATTTTGATGTTTTGGTATCCACTAACCCAACCCTACTTCCTCGAAGCTGTGTAACATACCAGGATCCCATCATTGTGTATGTCCAATGTTTATTCCTTCATGTCATCTCATTTTGCAAAATCTCAAGCTGCCTCTCTGAAAGGTCATAAATGTCCGTGCGATCCTGATTCATTACATGTGCTATAACTATAATACAGTGTTTTGCTCATCAATGGTGTGAAACATGCAGTTCAGTCGGTTCTAGAGTGAACTCGACCCTCTCTTAGCTCCACATCTTGAGATGAGCGCTATCTTTGGTATCTTGTCACTGAGCAGAAGCATGAGATCTTGATTGTGAACTGATCTCGACCATCATCCAGGTGATCTGCCTGGACCTTATCCTATCGCAATCAATCTGTGGATCTTGTTGCAAGGAACTTGCATTTAAGGCTGCAGTTGCAGCATGTTTCTGCTGCTGCTCATGATGCCCCACTCAATCTTTGTTTTGTTACTCACTTTTCTCTTGATGGTACAGTGTCCAAACTGCAATGTAGAAGTGCACAATCGCGGCCTGTCAATTCACCTGAGCAGATACTGTGGCAAGATATGTGATATAGCCACCACATCAGCTCTTGCCGAGCAGTGCAAGCATGGGGAAGTGATTGCTGAAGCTACTCGTTTGGAAGATGAACACTGGCAGGAAGAACAATGTGAAGAAGAGTGGGAGCACCTACAGCAACTACACCAGCCTCAAGTGGATGTGAGTGTTGTGTGTTATTAGATGTGAACCTGATGTTCACGGAAGTATTTGGATATAAACAGGAGGTGCCAGACATTGAAATGGAGCCATGGCCATCAGGGCATCCAAATCGACAAATCCACCTCTCCATGTGTTATTGTGATGAAGTCCCAGTCCTACTGATCCCAGCCCCACCTCCCATTGATTAAGATGAGCCTGTATCAGCGCTTGGAGAGTTTTTTGGCTCATGACATGGTTTTATAACTCATTGATCTCAAACATTCTGTGTTTCCAAAGGTGCGTCCAAAGTGCCTGAAGATGGTCCGATGTCAAGAAATGAAGGTCCGAGGTTGCACGGAGCATTCAAAGAGTCTCCAATGAACAGCAAAGGTTCCGAGAGAGGAATACGGCGGGTTTGTTGAAGTATGTCGAAGTATGACTAAACAAAGTCTATCAGAAAAACTAAGAGATAGTGAAGTGCAAAATGGCAGCGGTCAGGCCAAACAATCATTCTGAATGAACAATTAGATCAATTGCATGAAGTACAACTATCCGAAGTGACTCCACAAACTATGACTTGTAGCCAGGAAAGTCAAGTGAAGTGCGAGTATCTAGCAAGCCAGATTTTATCCTATGGCATGAAGGTCTGGAATCTGCATAGGTGAGAACAGTAGCGAGATAAGCTATCCGAAATGTAATAAGACTCAAGGCGAGCCGCTACAGAGATATGCATATAATAGCGCACAAGGCATTGTAGCACTTGGACTGGCGTTGGTCGCGTATCCTGCCAATCTCAGAGGAACCACACATTATAATCCTCAACACTCCTTTTGCTCTTCCAAGAGTTCTGTACACTCATCTGAGTCATCCGAAGGTCGTCCGCCCCTTTCTGAGGCCTGTATACACTTCCGATCCTCCATACCATGTCCCATCCGTGTCTGTTTGACTTCGCTGGTGCATTTCCACTTTGATTATCTGTTATTGATTATGTCTTAGGGGCTCATACATTGAAAAGCCTGATTAATATGTATAGCTGCGCACCTCGTGCACTATTACATGCCTATCTCTGTAGCAGCTTACCATGAGTCTTATTACATCTCAGATAGCTTATCTCGCTACTGGACTCGCATACGCAATTCCAGACTTTCACACCATAGGATATAATCTGGTTTGCTAACTGCTCGCACTGGACTTCACTTTCCCTGCTACCAGTCATAGTTAGTAGAGTCACTTCGGATATTCGTACTTCGCGCAATCAATCTTTTGTTCAATTTGGAATGATTGTTTGGCCTGACCACTGCCATTTTGTGTTTCGGTATCTCTTAGTTTTCTGATAGACTTTGCCTAGTCTTACCTTGGTACTTCTGCTGGTCTTATACTTCAACATACTTCAACATACTTCAACAAACTGGTCGCATTCCTCTCTCGGAACCTTTGTTGTTTACCGGACGTTCTCTGGACACTTCGCGTAACCTCGGACCTTCGTTTATAGACGTCAGACCACCTTCGGACACTTCAGACGCACCTTCAGAAACATGGAACGTGTTTTAGGTATCATTCCTGCTCTCTCATCTTCAATCTTGACAAGATATCCCTTGTATTTATATCAAGAGATAATTCTATAGGCAGTCTCTTTGGGACGAGCGTTACACTCACACTTTGAGCTCTAAGGTAATACAATTTGTAGCGCCTACAACGAATCAACTCTTTACAGCGTGCAGCTATATGTATTAATCAGGCTTTTCAACATATGTGCCCCTAAGACATAATCAATAACAGATATCAAAGTGAGAATGCACCAGTGAAGTCAAACGGATATGGATAGGACATGGTATGGGGGATCAGAAGTGTATACAGGCCTCGGAAGGGGATGGATGACCTTCAGACGACTCAGATGAGTGCATGGAACTCTCGGAAGGTAAAAGGTATGTCAAGGAGTATAATGTGAGACACATATGAGTTTGGCAGGATATGCAACCAATGCCAACCTGAGTGCTACAACATTGTCTTACTAGGATGTGAAAACAGTAAAATTCACCAATTTTCAGTATCCTACCACGGTCAATGGTTCAGACAAATACCAACAGTCGATAATGTAGTTGTTTGTGGGAAAAAATGTGTTGAGTTTTTAAAGGAATGACTCAGTGACTAAAAAGGGGGAAGTAGAATCAGTAACTGGCTTGATGCAGTGCTATGATCCTAAAGAAAGTCAATAACTGGCGTGATGCAGTGCTATGACTTCAACGAATACAGATGGATGTCTATGCGATGATTCTCAGAGCTATGACAATACTCCCTATCTTCACAAACCAATTGGAGATCAAACTAAGCCTCTAAACACGGATCAGCCCGAACTAATATGTGGCTTCGAAACCTACTCTCTACTGCTCAGGCACTACACGATGAGTTTGACGCAGGACAGAACAGAGTACACCCTATTGATGTAGTCTTAAGTGGGCCAAGTTCTTAATATTAGTGACTAACTGTTAGTCTTATTTGTCTTCCCTTGCTAATGAAAATACGTATATTCTCCCCACAGAATCAATTTCCTGTGTCTGAAAGAGAAGTGGAATATATCTGCACTAGATGACTGATAACCGTGTACCAGCTAGTGTAAAATGTATGGCTCAATGGTGGCCTCAATTATGCCTCTGCATGTCGTGGGAAACAGTGTCAAAAAGTGGAATGAAATAAGCTAATATTTCACTCAGTGTGTCACTCAGTAATCTTTGAGGTGAGAATTTAAAAAGAGCCTTATGGTCACTCTTCTTATCTTTCACTCACTCTTTCACTCTCAAACTTAGATGATACTTGGAAATGGGCTCTGAGATGGAGCTCTCTTTATTAGAAGGGAAAATGGGCCCCTTATATACTACTCTACTAGTGGCTGTGCTACTGATTACTAATCTACTACTAAAGTTTCAAAGAATACCATAGAACTTTCCAGACTATTCCACCAGATTCCAATGCTTTCAAATCAACATTAGTGGCTGTGCTCTGTGGCTATGCTAACCTGTGCTAGCAAGCTGTGTACACTGCCTCTGCACTGCCTGAATGCTGTACTCCAAAGCTGTGTTCAAACTTTGTTGAGATTCTTGCAGTCTGATGTTAACTTGTTAAATACCATAGTGTTGGTCCTGCATATTTGTCATAATGAAGTTTCTGCATGGTTTCCTAATGTGCCACCAAATCTCATGAGTCCGATTATGTAATAAGGTATCAAGTATCTCAGTCTCTCCTCTGAGCATTGTGAAAACTAAGAGGCTCGCGTAAGAAAATGAAAGGCTCGCGTAAGTGAACATGTTCAAGATGTGACACAAAATATGCCGATTATGTAATATGATGTCAGGATATGTCACAAAGTATGTTCCAGAACATGTGAAAATGTGTGAGAAAAATATAGGAGGTGTGAGAAATTGCTGACCAAGTGAAGAATTGTGCATTTGAAACCGATCTTTCAGAAAGATAAGTGTTATTTTGAACGTTAAGTAGTAGTGCACTCAATTTTGAGTCTGAAGTTACTCAAATAAAATATGGGTGCTACACTTAAAATTCTAGATAGCATTATAGGCTATTATGAAGGGTATTTAAAGCTAAATATTTGCCATGTTCATGTACAAAACAAGTTTTGTGCATGTCAACATGCTCAAATCTGCATACCAGGAAGTTGCAGCAAAGACATTTCACACAAAGCCATACAGACTATTCTGGAGCCTGACAACAATGAACCTCCAAAGAGGATCATTACCGAGCTGTATACATCTGACACCATGCTTCAAGAGCATGAGAAGCTCAACTCACAGCCAAATGAGCCAGGCTGTAACCTGGACAACTATTCCACCGCTCGCTATCTGTGATTCTCACCAGTCTGAAACCAGGGATGACCAAGTATGAGGTCCTCTGCTGTGGGGATGGTCACTTTTGATGCATCATATATGGTCTATGACCATACATAGCAGACTACGAAGAGCAGCTGGTATTGTCTTGTACCGTTGAAAATTGGTGTCTGAAGTGAGTATTTCAGTTCCTTGTCAGCATCAATGTTTACAGGCATAGTAGATGTCTTGCACTTTGATTAAATCTTGATGGTGGCTGTATGTACTGCTGTCATGAGCACATAGATTTAATGATAAGTGAACTACCTGCGGACATGTTGTGGTTTGAATATGACATCAATAGCCATGTCATCGTGAGTTGAACCACCAGAGGCTCTTAAAATACAAACTAATTTATTGTGTGTAGCCGTTCACGAACAACTTTCTGCGAGCTGATATCCATCAGTTATTATTATTTGATCTCCTCCACCAGCCAATCAAAGGCGCCTCCAAGGACCATCTTGTGGACTGGGTAGTGAAATACCTCAGGATTACACACAGTACCAAACGAGGGGATGAAATCATGAGTGATATAGACCGCAGGTATGTTATCTCATTTATCAGCTTGATGGCACTCTCTTACAATGTCAGAATTGCTGTTGTAGCCTCATTCTTTGGTCTATGGCAATTTCACAAAGGCCGTGACTTCAGACAGTGGACAGGGAATGATTCTAAAGTGTTGATGAAGGTTTTCATTCCAGCTATTGAAGGCCATGTATCTCAAGATATGGTGCGCACATTTTGTACACTCTCAAAATTTTGTTTTCTTGTGTGGTGCAACATCATTACTGAAGACTATTGGAGTTAAGCAAGTGCACCCACAGCTGGGGCACTTCATGATTCATTCACGTCTTCTGATTGGTTCAACCCAATGACTTGTATGTTTCTATTGTTCGGTCTTGTTATTCATTTCTCCATTGTACCTACTGAATCCTTTTGCTGTCTCGACTCGTTACCTCAGATGTTTGCCTTTGCATGTATGATCTGAGGTAAGATACTTAGTTCTTTACTTATATTGCACAGAGAGTCTGTCTATTACAGACCCGCATGAACTTGTATTTTGCTTATAAAGACACCATGAATCAAATTCAAGATGCACTTACTCGGTTTCACCACTACTACCAGATATTTAAAACCTCAGGCACAGTTCCTCACTTCTTGCTCCCTCACCAGCACTCAATGACCCATTATGTGGACATGATCTGGCTCTTCGCTGCCCTGAATGGATTATGTTATTTGATTATGGAATCAAAGCACATCAAGGCAGTGAAAGATCCCTGGCAATGGTCCAGCAAGAATAATGCTCTCAGCCAGATGCTTTTGTGCAATCAACACCTTGACAAGCTTTCAGCCTCTTGAGTGGACTTCGCTATACAATGGATGCTTGACAGTTCTGTATTATCAAGAACTGTAGCTGCTCCTCGTAAGTTTTTTTATATTTATGTTTGCCTCCTCACATAGCTAATGGACAGTTGCAGGCATAAAGACCCTTTAGATGCCCCTGTTGTCAGACCACAAACTGAAGATGAGGCAGACAATGGCAAAATTGTTAAGGACTCAATAGTACTTGCATCTGTGCAGCTTGTGAAGACTCCTTGTGAGTGAAATTGATCTTGATTTTGATAATTTTACAAAGAATAATACCAGGCACGGACAGAATTAGTGGAGGAAGTCAGTGTACCACATTGCTCAGCTGTTCCCTGATGATCCCCATAATCCTAAAGATATCCCTGCTGCTAGCTGCCCTCAACATGAAGGCAAGCTCTACATCTTTAATTCTGCTACTGCGACCTTCTATGCCCCAAGTGATCTGAGTGATGTTGGTGTTACAATGCACTACACGAGTCCCCTCTGCCACCTCTGCCCTCTGCCACCTTGCACGGCAATGACACGTACCTGAACCCGGAGACCTCGGAGATAGATGATAGACGATACCTGGGCCTTTAGGCCATAGATGATAGAAGAAGATAAGTGGCAACTGCCGGCTTAGATAAGCGGTCTGGACTGCATATGACGACATAGGTCTAGAAGACCTATTAATGATATCAAGATAGAAGGCAAGCCGCATGCTGCCTCATGTACTGATAGAAGGATGCCTTGAGGCCGCTATCTCTGATAGAAGCCCGCCTCATGTATGCTATCTCTGACTCGATAGATAAGCCGATTAGAACCCAGCTTTAGGCTGAGCTTAGACATGATAGAGTAGCCTTATATAAGGACGAAGATTAAAGTAGATGTTCCTTACTTTAATCTTACCAGGTTTTACCTAGAACTCACTAGTCTCGCTAAAGCTACCTGCTTGCCTTGTGAACAACCCGCTATCATCGCCCGTAACCTCTTGCTTACCGACAAGCATCAACCCCTTGTCAACCAGCAAGCTACGCAAGCGTACGCAACTCCTTATTATCTTAAGGAGCCGACGACTCTCAGCACTCGGTACCACTGTCGTGGTTGTCGCTGTTAGAACCATCCTGGTGGAACACAATACACTCGCGTGTGTCGTAACAGTTGGTGGCATGCGACACAAGCAGATCCGAGCTTGTCCACTCTGGAGAAATGTCTATGCATGTAATGATTTCATTTTCATCAACACTAATCCAGACTTCAAAGGGATGTGAGAACTGGAAGTTGTTAGGGTCAAGTATTTCTTTTCTTTCAAATTCAAGGGGAAAGTATATCCCTGTGTTCTCATCCAGTGGTTTGACAAGATTGGTGACTCCACCAATGAAGACACTGGCATGTGGATGGTCTAGCCAAGTGTTCTTGAGGATGGCTCCCTGAACCTCAGTGTTATTCATATTGACACAGTCTATCATGCAGCACACCTTATACCTGTCTATGGTCCCAATGTAGGAATACAACACAGAGTGGGGCTATACAAAGATGGCTCCAAACTGATATCTTGATATTGTGGTCTTGCACTGCCTAGTCTGCTATACTTGGTGACAAGTGCGTTCGACCCAGGGGTCTGTGGTCTGGGAATAGTTTTGGGGGTCAGTGAGTGATGTGGGGTCAATAGTCCAAGTGCGGGAAACAAAGTCCAAAGGTATAATTACGATGTCCGATGCAAAAGTGTTGGGTCTGATGTTTTTGGGGTTTTGGGTTATCAGGTTCGGGTTCGGGGTATCGGAAACTAATAGTGATGCGATAGTGTGCGCCAGGAAAGTGAATGGTATGCGCAATAATAATGGGTGGTGAAGGAACAATGATATTCGCAATGTCAACTAAGAACTACGAAATATCAGGTTTGACCCCTAAGCATCGGAGAATGGCTCTCCTCTACTTGGATGATGATGATGCTATGGGGAGTCCAATATTTATGTAGATATGTAGAAATCTGGAAGCCTATAGGCGAAATTAATAGTGCAATATTTTCGGGTCCAATGTCCTATGTAATAAGACATGAGGTGCTGCGGACATGTAATAATGTGGTCTGTAAGGATTGCTACCGCTCTGGCTACGGAATTCCCATTGTACCGGACTGATTTGCAGTACTACCTCACTGGCTATAGCAGTTACTGTCATAGCCACTCACTAGATACAAAAGCATGTCCTTACTTTACGTATCCTCAGTGAACAACTCCCCTTCACTCATTCTATCAGTCACGTCCTTTGTTTGGGTCTCGATCAATTTCCCTTCAAACTCAAGTAGCTGCCTTACAGGTCTACAATGTTAGTGATGGGAAAACAAGTAACTATGCACCTAGTGGGGCTAGCAAAATGACACAGGACATAGGTAGGACGAGTACACGTGAAGTCCGATAGTGCGATGTGCAAAGTGTGATGTCCGATGTCCGATGTTTTCAGGCTTGGTGCATATTGAGTCGGATATGATAGGGGATGATTCGGGTAATGATTAGCATTGTTACATGCATCGGAAATTAGACCTCTACGAGGCCACAGAGATGTCAGTCTCTACACCAATTTCATCCTCCATACCCTCAAGCTTTACCATTCTCATGATGCTTTCCACTCATTCTATGTCAATAATTATGCTGATCATATGTGTTCAAAATAGCATCTTAATTTTACTCAACAAGGTCAATAGTCTGATTGCTGACCTGGTAAGTCATTTGTTGTTGATGAACTGGTTGATGGTCTGATTGCTGGCCCAGTTGGTGGATCAGTTGTTGATGAAGTGGTTGATTTTTTGGTCGCTGACCCAGTTGTTGATGAAGCAATTTATTGTCTGGCCTTTGACCTAGCAGGCAGTTTTGATGATGGTCTGTTTATGGATGAATCTGTTGAAGGTCTGATAACTGACCCATCCTTTTGTCTAGCATGATAGACCCTTTGGCTTGTGAGGGCTGTCCTCATCCCAACAGCTAATCAGCCATAACAGATTTAGTGGGAGTCACATGTCAGAGCTTGATATTTTCCTACCACACATACGGTGTGCTCCAGACATCAAATGATATATATATATTTCTGATCAAAATATGGCAGTGGGCACTTGGTCATCAACCAACTCTACATTAGATGTGATCGACACATGAGGAGACACAGGACAAGCATGAAAAGGGCAAAAATGAAAAAGGGCCTCAAATATTACTAACATGAAGACGATATCTACAAGATCTGCACAAAAAGGTAAATTTGTGGTCCATTTTTTGTCGTATATCAACCTCACCTTGATTGGTGTGCAGAAACTCATGTTGACGCTAGGCCATGCTCACCCTTTCATCTGAATCCCTGTGTCTCAACAACTCCCTCAACTTCCCCAACACCTTCCCCAATACCTTCCAATATCTTGACAGCACATCCACTCATTCCACCACCTCCACCTCTGATCAAACCACTGGTGATGGTTGGTGGTTGGCGATATAATGCACTAACGTCTATCCAGATATTCAGCAACATTTAATATATCATGTGATGGGCTCTGGCACTTACTGCATTTGCAGGACCTATGTTATTTGAGGGAGTGTGGATGTTGACTGTGATGTTGGAAGGACTTTGATGTTGGAGAGACTTGGACTGGGGCATCTTTCATGCATGATCCCATTTTGGAAGGTGTGTTGTGTTGTGGCTGTTCTCCCTAACACTGACAATCAATCCACCATCATAACTGATGTCAAAGTGCATCACAGACCGATGTCAGTGTTGGACAGAACACGTTGAGGACAAGTCTGAATGAGCACTACACCTCCAATGCCTCTACTGCAGACCTCACAAATGTATCAACAGCCAAAAACGTCAGCAGCATGGCCGATACCACGTCATTGACCATAGGCAAAGGCAGTGTGTGTGACTGTATGCGTGAGTGGGAGCATGAACACAAATGGTTGTGGGAGATGGAGAGACTGGCAGAGATGCAGTGTGAAGCTGAGTCCATTATGATGTCTGCCAATGGAAACATTAATGATGATGAGACAGAGTTGAGTGATGAAGAGGTGGAGTGCACAATGCGACACTAGCATCCTCCCTGGGCTGCAAAGTGTGTCTTTTGATATTGGTGTCAAGGAGTATGGAGATATATATATTTTGTCTCATCTCCTGGTGTTCCAATGGCAAAGATACCTCGGTTGATGTTATCCGACATACTCCCACAGGCATATCCTCTCCACACCTCCATCCCGCATTGTCTGTCCATGTCCTTTCCATGTCCGTCTATCTCCATTGGTGCATATTCATTTTCTCTCAGTTTGACTAAACATTATCAAGGCTATTACATGAAACTGCGTATTCCGTTCCGCGTGCTCTCTCATTACATATTACTTATCTGCCTTGTTTCATCGCTACAGTTCTCGCCTACAGGTTCCAGATGCTCAAGGAGTAGGATAAAATCTTGCACTGTCTTGTTACTTAAGGGTCTTATATAAAAGTTGTGTATAATGACACCACAATTATACACGGTGAAGACTTCTTGCCAGTCCTTAAGTCCACAGTCTCTGACTTTTCTACTTCATGGGAGGTAATGTGGTGAGTTCTTGGGAGGATTTAATTTGTTGTTGTCATATCCCGCGTTCTGGGTCCGGACCTATCACACTCATCATTTCTGGATTTCCGGATCCGGCCGACTTCTATGTATTATCCAGATCCGACCCGCGTCTAACTTCCGTGCCTTATCCCTTTGGTATTTCCCTTATCAGTTAGTACACTTTATTTTCCGTCCCTTATTCATTTCCGTCTTCATTTTACTAAGTTCCGATAGACTAGTGATAGTTGTCCCATATGTTTTATCCATAGCTTTACATAGCCTCACACTGCACTTACTGTTCTCCGTTATGTCCTCAGTAGTATATAAACCCTGTACAGTCTCTGTAGTTTCCTCAGTTCGAATATCATCTTAGACTCTGCTCATTACCTCCTCCGTCCGACTTGAGTTTCTCTCTCGTCGACCTCCGCTCGTCTTAGGATTGACTCCTATAGACTTATCACCTCCGCCTCTACCTTTGGTAGTCCTCCGCTGTTTCCTTTCTAGTTCGGACTTCGTCTGGATTAGTCTTATCTCTTGTTTCCGAACGTCCGCCGGAATTCCCGCGCATCGGACATCGGACTCCGGACATCGCCTGACGCCCTCCGGACATCATCCGGTAACCTTCGGACATTGTTCGACAGCCTTCGGAAGTTAGGGGCACGTACTCGGGTAAGGGGCGCAGCGCACGAGCTGAAGCCAAGCCCTTCAGATCCAACCCTTGAGCACGTTCTTAACAGTTGTCCTCTTCTTGTGTAGTCTGATACAAAGTGTTGTGGAATGTTCTGTGTTCTGGATAAATTCATTAGGTTTGTTTCAGCCTAGTAGGTCGTGTTTCAACCTATGAAAGTCTGTTTCAACTTTGTCATCCTTAGATATGTGTCTCACTTTCCATTGAAAGAGAGAGTCCTATGTATACATGTAAAGCTTAGAATGAGAGCTGTTCGATGGTTGTATAGTCAACCCCTGTAAGGTAGTATATAAGTTAGAGTAGATAATGATATCTTAGATGTTATCTCAAGGCACTTATGTTGGCCTGCCCTCTAATTCTTAGTGATCTCACACAGTTTGAGACAAGAGTCAAGTGGGAGAATTGTTATTTCATGGAGAAAATGGAGTCCTTTATACCTTTTGGGAACCCCCTTACTAAGCATGATTTATCAGATGGATTGGTAAGAATGTGGCTTACAAACCAGGTGATGAATCAGATTATTACTAAGTACATTATAAATACAGTGTAATCTTACAAAGAATTTACAAAGCATGACGAATCATGACTAAACATGTTGAGTCAGCTTAAATAATGTTACAAACCAGAATATTTCCCAGTCACATGATGTGATGACAAATAAAATCTGGTGGCTGAAAGAAGCCAAATAAAAGTAAACAGTTAGACATAAACAAAGAGATACAAAACTTTGACAAACAAATCTATGGCTGAAAGAAGCCAAATAAAAATAAATAATGAGAAATCAATAGAAGGTCACATGCTCATCAAAATACAAAATAGAATAAGTCAGAGAAATAAAATACAAAACAATGAAATAAAGGAAAAATAGAGAGGTAACTCAGTGATAGAGGGCTAGACAGTCTCTCATATCTTTCTTATCACTCTCTCTATATATATGACATGGTATGAATCATATACCATGCATGACACTGGGTCTGGGTATTTGAAGTCAGTCAGTACAGCGCTGGAGTTCGGGGGGGAAGGAAAGAAGGCTCTGGCCAGGGCTTTACTTTTGTCCTTGTTCGTGACAGCTTCTGTGTGATTGCCGTTGGCATCTTTGGTCTTGAGTACTGGGATGCCTGTCCTGCTTCCATCTCTGTATGGTCTGGTAATAAACTTGTTAGCAGTATATATGTTGTCTGTATCTAGTTCCTTGAGGAATTCTATCCAGTGTTTTTGTTTTGTTTTTCGGATGGCTTTAGTGACTTGATTGCGTATTTATGATGTTTTACGTGTACAGGGTGAGCAGGTAGACCGCACATCTTGTAGGATAGGTCACTTAGCTCATCTTTCTTTTTTAACATTAGTGTTAACTCTTTTGTCCACCAGTGTTTGGCGTGGGGGCTGGGCTTCATGTTGGGGACTTTACTCTCTATGGTTCTTTTTAGGGCAGTGCTGAGGTTGTTGGCTGTGGCTTGGAATTGTTCTATGGATGTGATGGGTGTTGGTTCTGGGTATTCGCTGAGGTAGGTTTGAAGGTAGCCATTGAAAACTTTCCAGTCTATGTCTCAGAAGTTAGTGGTGGTCGTAGTCGAGGTGCAAGGGATTTCAAGGTCCAGGATGCTGATGATAGGTACGTGATCCATGCGTGGGGGGTGTCATCTAGGGGCCGTATTGCAGATGGTGAAGATGTCTATGGTATGGTTAGTACAGAATACATTATCAGGTCTTGTCCAGTTTCCGGTGCTTGAGGATTGAAGTGTAGGTATGGCTTTTGGGAGGGCCATGTGTAGGTCGTAGTCTGCCATTAGGTCTATGATTTGTTGGGCATTGTTTTGCGTGTTGGGTGGTGTGCATAGATGGGTGTTTTGTTCTTCTTCCCATAGGGGGTGATGGGCATTGAAGTCGCCCATTAGGAGGATGTGGTCGTTGGCTGAGGGGTGGATGGTTCATATTTCACATTCTAGATATTTGGATATGGCTGGGATGACTTCTCATTTCTTGCTGTCATTGTATATATTGAATATAGTTCTTTTGCTGAATGGACCGTTTAGCTGTATGAGTATAATGTCAGAGAATGGGAATGGTAATTGGCACCAGTTGTTGGTGTTGAGGTGTTTATTAATGAGGGTGACTGCATGGGTTCTGTTGCCATCAGAGTGTTGGTTTGATGGATATATAATGTTCCAGTCCTGGGTCGCTCTTATGTTGCTAAGGAAGTCGATGCATGGTTCTTGAATGATGAGTATGTCTTGTTCTTTTGCTGTGAAGGGGCTGCTGAGGATGCAATGTTGAGCTGTGTCCAATTTGTTGAGGTTTTCCTGCCAAAATTTTAGTCTGACTGAATGATTGTTGTTGGGTGTATTATGCATGTAAAGAGTCGATGGTGGAGACAGCTGGCATTAGGGATCATTGATGTTGGTTGGTTTGATGGTATGTGAATCCTCTGTTTGTCAGTGTGTAGCTTCCTCTCATGGGGTTAGTTCTTCTTGGCAGGGCTAGGTATTTATCTATTGTGTTTTGAGTGGGTTGGAGTGGGTCCCAGTAGTTGTTTTCGATGTTCAGTTTTACATATGGTTTTGCTTTTTCTGGTACTTGTACCTGGGTCCATGTTTCATCCCCAGTAGAAACCGTGTATGGTGTGAGACGATGGGAACAGACATCATCTGCTTTTTTTCTTCATTAGAAAAATATCAGAGCACAACATATGTCGTTGGGGTGCACCACATATACTGCATGCTGGGGCACGCTCTCCTCTGACAACATAGGTTTTTTCTTCAATTTTCAAATAAAATCTTATCCCACCATATAATGTAGTACAGTAGAATGAATTGATTCATATGACCAGAAATGATGTGCTACAACAGCGTGTGATATTACTAGTAGTAGGTATTGTGGCGGCATAAAAGCAGGTGCGGGGGCATGCAGAAACAATACAATAGTGGGAGCAGGTCCACAGTATGAAAGCAGGGGGAAACATAGCAGCAGATAGGATGGCAGGCATTGTGGCGTGAATGATAAGGAAGCAAGAACACCAGATTCCAGAAAGGAAGCCGGAAGTAGCGAGAAACTTGAAGAAGGCAGTGTATGGGTTGGTGAGTAGTAGGTCCATGATGTGGGTGCTAGTAAGGAGTGCCGTTGATGACGGCAGGATCGGAGGCCTTCTTCCAGGCACCAGTGCTGTCAAGACGCTCAGCCTCAGCTTGATATTCGTCTTGCTGAGCTGTTGACAGGGTGGTCCAATAGAGCTTGAATTCATCTGTGGTTCCGTTTTTGTTGGTCTGTTTGAGCCATCGTAGTGCACACAAATTAATTTCTGCTAATATGTTAGTGAAGTATCGACAAATAACGGGTCTACTTACTTTCCATTCTTCGTAGAACCTGGCCGCATCTTTTTGATGTTGACTCCACCAGTGGTCGCTGGCCTACTCTTGACATGGCTACCTTTGCTCAAGTGCTTGGAGGAAGTGCTGGAGTGGGGATGACTTTGGGAATGCCACTGTGCCCACCAAATATATTGCGCTATTAAGCAGATTAGCACAAACTGATAGATTAAAATAAACCTTACAGTGAATTCTTGAGGACAACAGAGACGTTCTCGTTGTTTGAATCATCGAGTGAGATGCCAGGAAGAAAGGCGCCATGACAAGGTGGAGAAGAAGGAGGGAGTGTAGGCAGAGGCAGATCAGGCTCATGTTGTTTGTCGGGACTGTTGCCAAGGCCTTCAAGAAGATCGTGATTGCAGTCATGGTTGCTAAGAGGAGAGGGAAGATCTGTGTTTCTAGTATGAGTGCTGCTGTGGATAACAATGGATGTGGTGTCAATTGGAGTTGCTGGGAGAGAATGATCAGAAGACGACAGGGAGGCACCCGAGTCGGAGATGTTGATGAGAGAGCCAGGACAGTGTTTGGGTACAAGAGTCACTAACATTACAAAGAGTCAAACGAGCATAGTAGTAATAATAACAAAAACCTTTTTGACGCTTGTTGGTGAGCTCTGAAGCATTGGAGGCATCCATACTACATTTGTGTTTCTTACCCTTTGACTTCTTAACATTGTGAACAATGGGCTTGGTGTCAAAGTGCATGTCATCCTCATCCTCATCCATAGCCTCACGTTTGGCGGCAGTCTGTCTGGGTTCTTCCAGGTCCTGTCCTGATTGAGGTGGTACTTCCGCTAGTTGGGATAGTCAGTTGTACACAGTAGTGTTAACTTCCATCCATCCACATCAAACTGAAACAATGGGAATTCCTTCTCCATGATGCTCTGCATCAAGGACTGACCAGAAGCACATAGCCTTGCCCATGTTAGTGGTGCGAGTTTCTTCACAACAAGCTCTGCCCATGCTGTGCGACACATCTGGCGAATAGACTTGAGTGTAGTGTTCATGGTATGATTACCATCTTCTTCCTCAAGGTAAGGAGCAGTGCCTCGCTTGATGTGAGAGACCACTGCAGAATCGAGCCAAGCATCATAGTCAGATCAGCACCAAAATCAGATTTTCAGGTGAGAAGCACGGTTGGGGCAGGGTTGGTGCAAGTCACTTGCCATGATATTGTCAATGCTGAACTTGAGAGGGTCTGTATCTTTCAGCAATCCAAGAACTTGAATAATGGCATGATATGATTGTCTAAATTGATTGTCAGTATATTAAACCACACAAAATGATTTTAAAAAAAGAGTCATCAATGTACTTGATAGTATCACGTTCTCCTGTGAGTCTTGTGATTTCACACTGTAACTTGATGCATTGTGATTCATATACTGCAATCTGTTCCTGAAGTTGCTGAATTTGAGTTCTAGAGAGAGTGCTGGCACTTAGTGTGTGCATATATCCACCCCTATTAATGTATTCTGAGCCTATTAATCATGAAATGCAATACTTACATTATTATGTTGTGGGTAATCCTTTGGATGCTGCAAGAAATTGGTTGAATGATCTGATAAAGAAAGAGATGAAGCCAAGAATCCTGGTGAGGGTGGGGATAATACTGACATGATGGTGGTGCGAACGGACACTAGTATGAAGTCATATTCACCAATGTAGTGCCTTTCAGCTATGTCCAAATCACTTCAAATCTTCTAAGTACTCGAATTAAGCCATACTCTTTTCTTATGGACCTACCAGTGATGTCATGCAATTTTTCTTGAAACTACCATCAGACTCTGAACTTGATAGCTATCTTCAGAAAGAGCCCAGAAGGTGAGATTAACCAATAGTAAATCATGGACTCACACACTTAGTTTATTTAGCGAGGACTGGACTGACAGTGGCCACTCTGATAGTAGTCCTCATTTGACTCTGTCTGATAATATTATGCTGGATCAAGAATTCTGGACCAACAATCCTGCTTGTCAACTTCTTAGGCAGCATGTTCTTACTCAGTCTGAGCCAAAACCAGTGGCCACACAAGAGGAGGTACTACGAGATTGGATTGATGATATGTAAGTAAAACATTTGACCACACTATCTGTACCATATATGCTGAATTGGAATTTGAAAGCTTCCTTGAATTTGAACAATACATAGTGCCCTTGAAGACTCTTTCCAGTGATGACAGCATCACAGAGCCGGAATTGGATGAACCCATACAACATATAGTGCCCTTGAAGACTCTTCCCAGCGATGACAGCATCACAGAGCCAGAATTGGACAATCACGAACAACATACAGTGGTATTACCAACACCTAAACCTATTATTCCGAAGCTTGATCGGAAGTGGTTCAAAACACCAAGTCCACCCCCTCCAGACTCAATCTATTGGAAGTACTTCACACAAGACGAAGAGGCACACTTTTATGATTGTTCTCAGATGGACAAGTCCTTTCAGGCTGTGCGGGAGCTTAAACATCAACTTCAGCTGTCTCTTGATGAGGAATTACACAAATGATTCAAGTTTTAAAAATTGTATTAAGTACATGTTTGGCCTTAATCTTCATTGTCTTGAGCCTCATTATCATCGCTTCAGCAGGACCCTCATAAGCTACTCCAAATGTCGCAATGTCAAGTCTTGGCTTCTCAACTAAAAAATATCTGTTCTTGGTCACTCCAGATGGTAGCTCGGATCAATGGGGCACCATGCCAATGACATCAGTGATAGATTTTACATCTACAACATGAATATTATCCTCAACAGGTTTGCATGAACTTACAGTATGAAAGGAGAGCTCAAGAAGGTCATGATTTGGATGGGAATACATCAAGATGAGTGCCACCACCTGCCAATGGAAATTTTGCTCTCCATCTTCATCATAGCCATCTGCAACAGCTAGACAGGTGAAGTAAAGGACTTCAGCAAGACGAATCTTGCCATCTAATACAAGCTAGAATATTTCATGTCAGTTGACAGTTCATGAGTACTAAGGTGTAGGAAATACCTTGACATTGTGTGAAATGCAAACCTTCTCAGCAGGTTTCTGAGTCTCTCTCCACACTGTTCTTGCAGTCTGCCTATTTGGTAAGTGCAGACGAGCCCAGCGACAAATTTTCACATCAGCTCCAAGGTACTCCTGAATAGCTCATGCAGCTCCACCTTCGGGTCGAACATCATATGGATCACATTTCCGAAGAAGAGTATACCCATCACCTAAATCAACGGCACCCTGAGAAAGATCCTGCTTCAGCTCAACAAGATCAGGTACCATAGCTTTGAGGATGTTAACCTGACACCATCGTACCCCCTCCCTTGACATATTTGCATATGGGTTCAATGGCTGTTGAATCTCCTAGCCAAGGTTTCCAATGGTGCACTCCATTGTCCATTGTGAGTAACATATGGGTGGTCCCTTTTGAAGGGTTTCAGTGGCAAGATGCATGACTTGATGAACACATGGACAGATGAAGTGGAGGCGTTCAGCATGGCGCTGATAGTAGAGTATCTCGAAATCAATCTCCCACTGAATAAAACATGCATGGGCTGCTTGTAGCTCTTGAATAGGAATAGAATGCTGGCATATAAGGTGAAAACCACGTATGAGTCAACAATAATTGAGCCAATACTGCCAAGGAATGATGTTGTAAAGAAGTGCAGGCCCCAGACTGAAAATATACATCTGGAATTCCCATGTTTTGTATCCAGTATTTATTTTCTGAGCAGGGTTTCGAGGTTTCCGATCAAACGAGCCTGGGAGGTGTTGTGCAGCATCCGCAACAGATTGTCCATGTGCCTGCCAGAGGTTGGCATCTCTAAAAATGGCCCATTTCCAGGTGGATGGATGATCAGGAGTGGTATAGTCCATAATACCTTGCCATAGAGACAGCAAAAGATCTGCTAGAAGTTGAGCAAGATGCATGATGTCAGGTGTGAGACAGTGAGGGATTCCAAGGGTGTAATGAGGAAGAAGCCCTAGCAAGAGACTGGGTTTTGTGAGACCTGTCTCTGTCTGAAGCCTGTGATATTGAGTGTGGTTGGGGGCGGCAACAAGCTTCTAAAGGTTTGCAGGATATTCCACTGAGGCTGCATTGGGCAGATCATACACGCTCACGTCAGGGTGGTTGCTGCCTGGAATTCAGTAGTCGTTTGGAATCAAGAGAGCTGGGTAGTAATGCGTCCCTATGAAAACACTTAGAATATCCATCAATCATGTACAAATTGCAATATACCTTTATGTCGCCCAATAAGACCACAATAGAGTCGGCAACCATTTCGACCACTATGTCCAACCATTCCATCAAAATACACTAAACCTGGACCATCTGCAGTCACATAAATCAGATATAAGTAGGAGAGGAATGTCCAATCTATTCAAGTGTCCCAGATGCAAAGTCCTTCTCATTGCAATACTGCAAGATGGTGCATACCAGGGAAGAGGAAGGAATCAATGTTCTTCAGTTTGTTGAGTCCTGGTATGAAGCCACCCGGAAGTACATACTTCTTCTTATAGCAGTTGCCCGGTGCATGGTTCGTTACTATCCATATGTAGATCCAGCAGTCAGACTGTTTGCTCTCATAAAGTTGAGCTCTGTCCATCAAGATCATGAGCACAACATTGTTCTTGGTTATATCTCCATGTTGGACAGCGTGTATATAGTCCATACCCATGATGAAGTCATCAATCTCATTGAAGACACTTCCATTGGTGCGTAGCTCATTTATCAAACACTCTGTCTTGTCAGAGAGATAAGACATCTTCTGGGCATGTTCAGGGTCGCGCCAAAGAGCTTGAAGCTGCATGCTGAGGGGTATAGTGATGAATTTCTGGCAAGCTACATAAGTCCACCCTCCACTCACCCGCAGCTTGATGGTGTCATAACATTCTGTGCCACAGATTGGACAGTGTTCGAGCTCTGCAAAAGGTCCTGTGAAGGTGATGTAGGAATACAACACAGAGTGGGGCTATACAAAGATGGGCTCCAAACTGATATTTTTATGTTGTGGTCTTGCACTGCCTAGTCTGCTATACTTGGTGAGACAAGTGCATTTGACCCAGGGGTCTGCGGTCTGGGAATAGTTTTGGGGGTCAGTGAGTGATGTGGGGTCAATAGTCCGAGCGTGGGAAACAAAGTCCAAAGGTATAATTATGATGTCTGATGCAAAGCATTGGGTCCAATGTTTTTGGGGTTTTGGGTTATCAGGTTCGGGTTTAGGGTATCGGAAACTAATAGTGACGCGATAGTGTGTGTTGAGAAAGCGAGTGGTGTGCACGATAATAACGGGCAGTGAAGGAATGATGATATTCACAATGTCAACTAAGAACTACAAAATATCAGGTTTGACCCCTAAGCATCGGAGAACGGCTCTCCTCTACTTGGATGATGATGATGCTATGGGGAGTCCAATATTTATGTAGATATGTAGCAATCTGGAACCCTATAGGCAAAAGTAGTAGTGCAATATTTTCAGGTCCGATGTCCTATGTAATAAGACATGAGGTGCTGCAGACATGTAATAATGTGGTCTACAATGTTAGCGATGGGAAAACAAGTAACTACACACCTAGTGGGGCTAGCAAAATGACACAGGACATAGGTAGGACGAGTACATGCAAAGTCCAATAGTCCAATGTGCAAAGTCCGAAGTGCAATGTCCGAAGTGCAATGTCCGAAGTGCAATGTCCGATGTCTGATGTTTTTGGGCTCGGTGCATATTGAGTCAGATATGATAGGGGATGATTCGGGTAATGATTAGCATTGTTATATGCATCGGAAATTAGACCTCTACGAGGCCACAGAGATGTCAGTCTCTACAGCAAGTTGGTGTTCATATGTTGAGTTGGGGCAGTGACGGTTCTCATTGTAATGGGACAACAATTGCTGGATTCTACATGAAGTAAGTAACCAGCAATATAAAATATTGTGGTCTAACACAGCCTAGTCTGCTATACTTGCAAGACAAGTGCATTCGACCCGAGAGGTTTGCTGTAAGGTATTAGAATAATTAGTTATATGAAAGGAAGATAGTCCGAAGCATGGGAAACAAAGTCCAAAGGTATAATTATGAGTCCAAAGGTAAAAATGTTGGGTCCGATGTTTTCAGACTTTTAGGTTAGCAGGTTTCATTGGATTAGTATTGGGAATGTAACGAATGTCGGAGATAGTGAATGGTGGGTTACTGTCAGTGTTTTTGGAGTGTTTTGGATAATGAAAGGATGATATTTGTGGAATTCAACAAAGAACTACGAATATCGGATGACCTCCTCCTACTCAGAGGTAGAAAGGTAAATAAGCAAGTAGGAGGTATGCGAAATATATAGTATCTATGTAGAATTTCAGAGTGCTATAGGCGAAAGTAGTAGTGGTAATTTTCAGGTCCAATGTCCTATGTAATAAGACATGTGGTACTGCGGACATGTAATAACACAGTCTACAGTGTTAGCGATGTGAAAATGAATAACTGCACACCTAGTGGGGATAGATACGACAGGACAGGACATAGGGAGGACAAGTGCGCGGGAAAATATCGGGTCCAATGCCCAGGAAACATTGGGTTCGTCAGACTACTTCAGGTTAGTGTTGGATTAGCAGATAAACATCGGATTGAGCAGGTAAGTGTTGGATAACATTGGAAAGTGATTTGTGTGCAATGTGCATTGGAAAAGAGCTAAATACAAGCCTAGCGTGAGGTTGAGTGCTACATTGTCATGAAGAGTAGGGGTTGGTGGTTGGTACACAGTGCTGACAGGCGATGGTTGTCTTTTGGTGGGGCTCAGGAGGGTTTTTATAGAGGGGCAGAATGCTTTGTCCCTTTGTTAGCACTGTGTCAGGTGTAACAAAGGTGGTGGCACACCTTTCTTGGATGTTATTTGTTAAGGTATCATTCTCCTTTGTTGTATGTCCGGGGGGGAGTGGCATGCCTCGTAGTACTGGAGCAGTTGATGCTGTGGTTTCTGGTTGTGGTGAGTGATGACAAGCTTGATCTTTGCTTTAGGTATTGGGTGTTGGTTGTTGTGTCGAGATGTATAGTGACTGAGTGATGCTTCATGAGTGTGCTCTTATGGCCTGTGGGGTCTTAGGCTCTAGGTATTGCACTCTAGTTGGTAGCAGGTGCCTTCAGACTTTGTAGGTCTTATATCGGAATGAGACTAAGGCTGATTTTATTGTTTGAGGGGGGCTTTCAACATTGATAATACTTGGGTATCACTTTTATTGTGAAGGCATGACATTGTTTGAGATGTATAGCGCTGGGAAGCACCAGGTATTGGTGCCGCCCTTACCTGAATGTGGGAGTTCAAGTCCAAGAAGCCCCCCACAACGCATTATGGACTTGCAGTATTCTTAATTCAGCCAACAGCAACAGGCTTATGATGATAATCCTTACCACCAGCCTTATCAAGGTCCCATGTATCCTTTGCCCAGATCTTCATCAAACCACAGTGCACCTGTTCCAGCAAATGTGTACAAATATGATGTCGGCATACTTGCGCAACAGAGTGTCTATGTTCCTGGGGCTATGATTGACAAGCATGGAGGCGCTAGTGGGAAACTTGTGTTGGACAAACAACTTCGTCACTATTTCTGTCTCTTTGTCATCACGGACCCAATACGTACTTTACCTTATAACACTTCTGTTTACGTCTGTGTATACCTCAGCAGTTCTTTCTTAGACGCTGAGGTATGTCTTACGTTTTATGTTTCTCTTGCATGCCGACTTCATCTTACTATTAATTGTCCCTAGATCATCATTCTAGGTATTGTGAATGTATCAGCAGTTCTTCCTTAGACACTGAGATCATCGTTCTAGTTTCACTGTCAATAGGTTATGAGCCCTGGCTCTTACTGAGCCTTCAGATGAAACAATAGGCCGAACTTCCCTCGCGTTTACTTGCCGCTCGTATAATCTCACTCAGCTTCGTTGATCCCTCACGACGGTATCGCCATGGGAAAGTATGATCATATTCCTGAGCTATTGGGGACTAAAAACTATGTTGGTTGGTCGACCAAAATGCAATATGCACTCGCGTGCGAAGACTTATGGTGCCACATCAACACGATTGTCGATCCTGCAGACCTCCTCGGGACGCCGTCCTTATTACCTGTCGCTGTTGATCCAGCAAATGTCACTGCCACAGAGAGAGCAACAATGCGTGAATGGCTGTTAGAGGACATAAAGGCCAAAGACCTAGTCACTCGCCGCCTTAGTCCATCAGTCGGTGCACTCGTCCCGCGCTCACACACCATCTCAGCTCGCAAAGCGTGGCAAATACTTGCAGAACATTTTAATCAAAACGATACAAGTGCCCAGTATCAATTACATCAACGACTCGACGGGCTGAGAATGAAAGATTCTGCCGACGCGACAAACTATGTCGGGCAACACGCTGTTCTTCGAGAACATCTCCATGATTCAGGCGCCCCTCTGCGGGACGGCGATGCAATATACAGTCTGCTTATTGGCTTACCTCAAACGCCCATCTGGCAACAATTTAAGTCCATGCTCGAACAACGGATGCACGACGAGAATATGACTGTGACAGCTGCAAATCCTTCCACCTTCACTGTCGACAGTTGCGTTTCACGCATCACTTCAGAAGCCGCACGTCATGTGCATGCGCGAGCTGTGCACTCTGCACGACCCGGGTCCGAGTATGCGAATGTAGCCATGTCATCCACTCAGAACGCATCCAGCGTTAACACCATCACTGGCCTTCGTAAGCATAAGTACAACCCCCAGGGAATATTTTGCACCACACCCGGTTGCAACAAGGGTGACCACGACCATGATCACTGCTACGGCAAGGGTGGTGGAATGAAAGGTCAGGCACCATGGATGCGGAATAGGAAGAAGGAAAATGAGAAGGAGACTGCGGCTGTCACTGTTGCAACCACACCTGCACCATCTGTGCCTGCAATTGCGGCCGCTGTTGCACCCGCTGATCTCGCCAGCCTCTACACCGATGTCTCATTTGCCTCCATTGCTGAGGTTGCCAATGAAGTGTCCTGCTCCGTATCTTTACCATTCTCGACGATCTTGGATTCTGGCACAACCGTAACACTGGTTAAAGACCATCAATTCTTCCACACGTACTCGACAGAAGAGTCTGTTCCTGTGCATACCGCAAACCATGGGATCCTTGAGACGACTGGACGCGGAACCTGTGTAGGTTGGCTGACGATTGGGAACCGGAGGTTACACGTCAAACTATCCAATTGCTTGCACGCACCGAATGCAATGCTTAATCTCCTCTCAGTCTCCTGCATGAACATGAAGGGATGGGATGTCAACTTCAAGTCGAATATGACATGTGAGCTTGCCTACAAGGGAGATCATCTCGGAGCCATTCCCGTGACGGGGAAACTGTATACCATTGACCTAGACTTCATCCCATTCACTGAGTCAGCTCCCATTGCTGTTGTCAAGCAGGAATTTGCAGCCTTCACGCACGTGCCACTCACTCTAGATCTCTGGCACGCGCGTCTAGGACACGTTGGCCGTAATGCCGTCTCACGACTCAACAAAGTCACAAAGGGGGTGGTTTTTGACTCCAGCACACCTCTTTCAGCCTGTGAATCCTGCATCATGGCGAAACATCCCCACCTGCCCTTCCACTCGTCCAAAACTGAACGCTCTGCTCACTTTCTTGATCTTGTTCACTCCAATGTCTGCGGCCCTATCCCCGTCATGACCCCTCACTCTAAACGTTATTTTGTCGTCTTCCTCGACAATCACCCTCACGTCCTCAACTTGCAGCTTCTTGCAACGAAAGATCAGGCACTTGATGCCTGGACCACCATCTGAGCAAAGTGGGAGAATATGTCTGGGTCCCAGGTAAAGATCTTCCGATCTGACAATGGGGGTGAGTTCATCAATGACGCGTTTACGGATGCTCTGGAGTCTGCGGGTATTGAGCGCGCCTTATGCACACCAACAGAACGGGAAGGCGGAACGCGTGATGTGGACCATTGAGGGGAGAATGTACACAATGCTAGATCATGCGCGACTACCACGTACCTTATGGGGGGAGGCTGCGCTCACTGCAGCCTACCTATTCAACAGACAGAGTCACGAGCATTGCCACCAGGACAGACTCCATACCAGATGCTCACTGGGTCACAACCCATCCTCAGCCATCTTCGTGTCTTCGGTGCGCGCTGCTTCGCCCGTATCCCAACAGAACTTCAAGAGAAGTTGGGTCCGCGATCACGAGAGGCCATCTTCATGGGATACCCTCCAGGTGTCAAGGCATGGCGATGCAGGGACATAGTGACCGGTGCTTTCTTTAACTCTCGTGATGTCATCTTTGACAAGGGCTTCTCCAACCGCCCTTTTCCAGACAGCGACGATGATGACGACGACAGTGTCACTCCTGCCCCTCGCACAGTGCCATCTGTCACTGCCCCTACTGTGCCTGCAAGCGCTATTGCATCTATTTGATGGTCCTCCCGCATACCCATGCCCACAACAAAAGGCCAGCTTTATCAGAGTAGACTCGCAGCTGACCAAGCATGTTTGGCACGCCAGCGTGTGATCCGCACAGCCAAAATTCAGGAAGTTCCCCCCCCCCTGAAGCTGCAGCCGGTGACATCTCTATATCCCGCATCACAACAGCGCCTCCCGAGCCTGTTCGTGCGGAGGATGAACCTCCTACACCCGCTGACCCCGACGTGATCGTCCCTGACGACGAAGACATTGGTTTTCCTAGAGTCATTGCCAATCTCATCGCTGTCAAAGTAGCTTGCCTGTCCGTACATAGCGATGTGCGTCGTAATCCACTGGCACCCGGGTATAACTTGAAGGTCCCACCCGCAATGTATGACGAGGCGATGCGTCATCCAGACGCCGATCACTGGCTTGCAGCGATGCATAAAGAGATAAACCTCATGTCCGAGATGAACGTCTATGAGCTCATGGGCCTGCCGGAAGGAAGACGAGCGATTGGTTGCTGATGGGTGTTAGAGTTCAAGGAGGATCTGAAAGGTGGCCCCGTTTTCAAGGCACGACTTGTCACCCAGGGATTTTCGCAAATTGCGGGTGTTGATTTCGGAAAAACGTTTGCACCCGTCACAAAATCCGCTTCGATTCGCATCCTTGCAGCGCACAGTGCCACTCACGACTGGGAGCTTGACTGCTTCGACGCACGTCAAGCATTCCTGTGGGGAAAATTACAGGAAGACGTGTATATGCGTCAACCACCTGGCTTCGAGCGTCTTGGACTGGAAGGACAACGTCTCGTTGCTCACCTGCTATCGTCTCTCTACGGCTTGAAACAGGCAGCGTATGACTGGTATGAGCTACTTCGGGCAGTACTCACCAGTCTAGGCTTTCTCCATTGTGAGGCTGATTACGCGGTGTTCATATTCGACCACATCAATGGGGAAAGGGTGAGGATCATCTGCATTATCGCGTGGCATGTCGACAATGGTCTCGCAGGAGCAAACAATCACCAGTTTCTCAATCAAACCAAGGCAAAAATCACAGAACGTTTCGGCATCACCGATCTCGGGCCTGTTTCAAAGTATCTGGGCATCCAGTTCGTGCGAGACCGTCAAACTCGCGAACTGTGGATGCACCAGGAGGATTACATCACTTACCTCCTGCAGGAACACGCCATGTCAGAATGCAATCCCGTATCACTGCCCATGGATCCGAACTTTCCTTTCGGCCGACCCACAGACGTCCATCCTCAGGTCGACGATCTAGAGACCGAGTTCTGTAAACTCGTTGGCGAATTGTTATACCTTGCCATGTATACACGACCGGTCGTTGCCCACACTGTCATGCGACTCGCACAACACAATGCCTCTCCTGAGCCTCGTCATTACATGGCTGCAAAGCACGTGCTCCGCTATCTCGCTGGCACCATCAAAATGCGAACTCACTATGGCGGTGCCGGTGTCAACCCCGTACTTCACGGGTTTAGTGATTCAGATTGGGTGTTGTGTCCAGATGATCGAGTCTCTGTATCCGGCTATGTGTGGTTCTTCAATGGTGGACTGGTGTCCCACTCGGCGAAGAAACAGACCACTCACGCGTTATCGTCAACTGAAGCTGAATACATGGCATTGACGGCAATGATACAGGATGGGCTCTGGCTTCAATCATTCTTCGGTTGCATCGGCATTAGTCTCTCACTCCCACTTCAATTGTTTGCTGATAACGCTGGAGCTATCGCGCTATCAAAAGAAGCAGCGAATCACATTCGCACAAAACACATTGATCTGAGGTACCACTTCATCCGCCGTCACATCGAAGAAGGGACGTTCTTACCCATTTGGCTTTCAACACACAAAAACACAGCCGACATCTTTACCAAGATCCTTCCTCGTCCTGTATTCATTCAGCACCGTGCCGGTCTCGCTTTAGTGTCTCGTTGAGGGGGTGTGTTGGACGAACAACTTCGTCACTATTTCTGTCTCTTTGTCATCACGGACCCAATACGTACTTTACCTTATAACACTTCTGTTTACATCTGTGTATACCTCAGCAGTTCTTCCTTAGACGCTGAGGTATGTCTTACGTTTTATGTTTCTCTTGCACGCCGACTTCATCTTACTATTAATTGTCCCTAGATCATCATTCTAGGTATTGTGAATGTATCAGCAATTCTTCCTTAGACGCTGAGATCATCGTTCTAGTTTCACTGTCAATAACTTGCAAAGGGTGGAAAGTGCACCACTGTGCTCCATATGGGTCATGATAGTGAATGTTGAATATCAAATATTATATACACTGTCCATACATAGCCTGATTAGGTGAACTTCCATAAAAAAAAACATCCGAAAAAAATATATTATAACACTTTGTCACAAAGTTAGGTAAGACTCATGTGACGAACCTAAGGCCGAAACGCTACAGTAGTCTAAATCAATACGAGTCTAGGTTGAGTGACGTGGTGAATCACTATATAGTTCCAACAAGCAAGTACGACAGGAGAAGTAACAGCGAATGTATATATCAACACAAGGTGGGTCACCTCACTGTGTATCAACGAATCCAGTGATGAGATTATTGTTGATGATGGATCCAGCTTTACCACCACTCGTCTGCAAACCAGACCAATCCCAGTCACCTATCATGGTATGTCAGAAATAGACTGACGGAAACTGTAACTCGTGTACCTGTGCACGATCCACTTCCACAGTTCACTGCGACCATGTAAGCACCCTTGTTGGCCGTCAAGGAAGTGGTGCCATGGTTGAAGTTGATATCCTGAGACAACCCGTGAAACCCTTGTCGACGTAAAACTGAAAGAACACATACAGAGATAGTGGCCCCGTTGCCCGGGGTACCCAGGTTGGAGGGATAGCTCTGTAGATATGTTACATGATTGACGACGGGAGAGCGTGGTGAAACACGTACCTGAGTTATCAGAACGCCGAAACTGGTACAGTTGGTTGCAGTATTGTCCTACAAAAAATAAAAATCAGTCCAGGATCATCATCATCAAAACCACTCACGCTATACGTAACATTCTTCACTACACTGTTTGTCGCAGATGTATCGGTCTTGATACGGAAGGAGTATGCGCTACTTGCGTCAGTACAACTCTAATTCGCCCTTGCACCGTAGTCACCTGCTAACAACATGGTTTCCGATAATCTCAATATCGGAGACGACGGTATTTGACGAGATGGAACCCTAGACGACAAATATTTCAATATTTTGGTTCGCAAAATTGATGAAGTGGCTCACGATGGAGATACCGTGACCATATTCACAGTAGTTGTCGGCAAATGTGATGTTTGTGCCTCTTTTGATAGCTAAACAATCATCCTGCAAAAAGAAATACCTTATAGGCGAAGGGGCTTGGAAGCTCAATCATCAGACAGACCTGATTGAGGACAGTGCTGAATGTTCGTAAGTGTATGAGTCGATTGAGTAACTAGAGGATAGACGAACCAATTTTGAATGAGTATATCACTACTGTTAACATCAAAGCCGTCGGTGTTGTGTGCTTTCGGCCAGCAAGTTCAAAACCCGCCCGATAAATAAACGCGCCACTTACCGGCGGCGGCGTTTCCGCTTCGCGAGCTGGGATAGTTACCCTGCACTGTTCTTGACGTCAAAATGAGACACCGCTGATAACATGCAACTACGCACGATTATCGACAGTGGCGCCAGAGATAGTGAGAGGTCCTGGGTTTGTGATCGAAAAGACGTGGGCGGGAGAGTTTACAACATAAACGTCCTGCGTAAACATATTAGCAATATAACGGCTGAGGCGATTCGAGTGCATACGTTCAAGGTGCCTGAGATCGATATTCTGGCAGATGCAAGATTAAACAAGAACGCAGTACCACAGTAACTAATGAGCTTACTGCATCATTGGGAGTGGTTTTGCAACACCACTACTGGAACCTTGACCGTCCTGTAGTAGTGTAACATGAAGCGAAATCCTCGCGAGTGAACCAGCGTATTTACCCAGTAAAAAGGTCCTCCGCCATCCCACCTATGGTTGTTTCCATTGACTGAGAACGTTAGGGATTGCCACGACTTCAAATAACACACGTACAAGTAACGTCATTTCCCCTGTCAAGACGGCCTTGATCAGGTTCTCCGAGCCACTTGAAGTAGTAGTGTCTGCACTCACATCACCCGGAATAGGGGGCCGGCCCAGCTCAAATTTCCAAACTGAATCTCGCCCACTAAAAAAGAATCAGGGATGCGCAAAGCGAAGTATTAGATCACGCTCACAAATGTTGACAGTGGTGCCGTCCAGCAGCTGCAGTTCGAACGTTTTTCCACCAGGGACGGTGAACGCATTGATATTCACTGTCGTGCATTGGGTAGCACTGCTAACGTCATCCAAGGATGAGATTGTACCGACGCAGCCACTGCTGCTGGCTGCAGCGACTGCAGTAATACCGGACACGAGGAAACCAAGAGCTAACGAGAGAAACATGTTGATTAGTATGAGTGAGTAGCCTAGCCTTAAATCTGCTAGAGGATACGGCTGTCGGTGACGGTAAATTGATCTTGCACGCAAGTTCTATTTGCCGGTCTTATATATGGAGTTCATTGTTTAGGCGGTAGGCAGCGTAGGCTATGGAAAGCGGGAGTGTTCAGCTCGGCGAGAATGGCATTTAGTAGCCTAGTGCCCCCTGCCACTCATCACTTTGCACCGCACAGAACTACTTGTGAGAGTATTCATCCTCTATCGAGGTGTCTGAAATGACCGGTCTGTGGATGAGTCCGTGGTGCTGGTGTACCGTGTGCCTCTTAGGGAGTTCCGAACTTCCTAAGGAGACACAAGTCTCAGAGATGAGTTCCGTCCTCCAACGAAACCAGGTCTAATAGACCGCGAGAATATCGGAAATGCGTAGACTGCAGCAGTTTTGATTGTCGCTGGTCTCCAGTAGTAACTGGCCTGACGGGAGATGCTGACAGACAACAGTCAATATTATGGCCCACGTGCTGTTTGAGCAATGTGAGCGGCCAAATTCAAATTCAAAATTCTACCGCCAGTAGTCAACGTTTCAACGTTAACCATCACCTGAAATAGAAGGTGGCTCCCATCTGTTTGCGGTCCACTGCGTTTTGGGATGAAGTGGGATTGAGCAGGAAATTGACGATCCAGGGAGTTTGCCTAAGCGAGCAGCCACCCGTGTGGTCCCTCAAGGGAAGCAGATACATATGGTGGTGGGGAGCGTCTGGAAGGCTGGAACGGCAGCACGAAATCGAGTGGGGACTGTGATAGCTAGATTTTGAAATGTCAAGGCACGTCGTGTGCGTCAAAATTGCAAGCAAGGTGTGGGAAGTGTTTGTTGAACTATGAAGTACACTGCCCCCATTTGGGCATTTGTGACGCTTAGCGTCGATGTTCTACTACGCGAGGCATGAGCACGTGCATAGAACGAGGTCTATGTAGGGACCGGGTTGAAATGATTGCTCTTTGTTTCTCGCTACCATCAACTTGGTGCAAGCAGTTTTATCTGTAACAATAATCATGTCATGACAAACAACAGTGTTGTGTAAGAAAAAGAGCATATAACACGATATCTGCATGCTAAGCGCCAGGTCACTAGAACAACTTCGAGTAAGGTGAGTCTAGTCTAACTCAATACGAGTCTAGGTTGAGTGACGTGGTTAATTACTATATAGTTAGTACGACAGGAGAATTAATAGCAAGTCTATATATCAACCCACGGTGGGTCACCTCACTGCGTGTCGGCGAATCCAGTAATGAAATTGTTGTTGATGACGGATCCAGCTTTACCACCACTCGTCTGCAAACCAGACCAATCCCAGTCACCTATCATGGTATGTCAGAAATGGACTGAGAGAAACTGTAACTCCTGTACCTGTGCACGATCCACTTCCACAGTTCACTGCAACCCTGTAAGCACCCTTGTTGGCCGTCAAGGAAGTGGTGCCATGGTTGAAGTTGATATCCTGAGACAACCCGTGAAACCATTGTCGACGTAAAACTGAAAGAACACATACAGAGATAGTGGCCCCGTTGCCCGGGGTACCCAGGTTGGATGGATAGCTCTGTAGATATGTTATATGATTGACGACGGGAGAGCGTGGCAAAACACAGGTACCTGGGTGATCAGAACGCCAAAACTGGTACAGTTGGTTGCAGTATTGTCCTACAAAAAATCAGTCCAGGATCATCATCATCATCAAAACCACTCACGCTATACGTGACACTCTTCACTATACTGTTTGTCGCAGATGCGTCGGTCTTGATACGGAACGAGTATGCGCTACTCGTGTCAGTACAACTCTAATTCAGCCTTGTGCCGTAGTCACCTGCTAACAACATGGTTTCCGGTAATCTCGATATCGGAGACGACGACATTTGACGAGATGGAGCCCTAGACGACAGATTTTCAATAATTTGGTTCACCAAATTGATGAAGCGGCTCACGATGGAGATACCGTGACCATATTCACAGTAGTTGTTGGCAAATGTTATATTTGTTCCCCTGCTGATAGCTAAACAATCGTCCTGCAAAAACAGATACCTTGTAGCCGAAGGGACGTGGAAGCTCAACCGTCAGACGGACCTGATTGAGGACAGTGCTGAATGCCCGTAAGTATCTGAGTCGATCGGGTAACTAGAGGATAGACAAACCAATTTTGAATGAGCAAATCACTACCGCCAACATCAAAGCCGTCGGTGTTGTGTCCTTTTCGGCCGGTAAGTTCAAAAACCTCCCGCTAAATAAACGCGTCACTTACCAGCAGCGGCGTTTCCGCTTCGCGAGTTGGGATAGTTACCCTGCACTGTTCTTGATGTCAAAATGAGACACCGCTGATAACATGCAACTACGCACGATTATCGACAGTGGAGCCAGAGATAGTGAGAGGTCCTGGATTTGTGATCGAAAAGACGTGGGCGGGAGAGTTTACAACATAAACGTCCTGCATAAACAGATTAGCGATCTGTCTGGAACGGCTGGGGCGATTCGAGCGCATACGTTCAAGGTGCCCGAGATCAATATTCTGGCAGACGTAAGATTAAAAAAGAACGTAGTACAACAGTAACTAAAGAGCTTACTGCATCATTGGGCGTGGTTTTGTGACACCACCATTGGAACCTTGACCGTCCTGTAGCAGTGTAACATGAAGCGAAATCCTCGCGAGTGAACCAGCGTATTTACCCAGTAAAAAGGTCCTCCGCCATCCCACCTATGGTTGTTTCCATTGACTGAGAACGTTAGGGATTGCCACGACTTCAAATAACACACGTACAAGTAACGTCATTTCCTCTGTCAAGACGGCCTTGATCAGGTTCTCCGAGCCACTTGTAGTAGTAGTGCCTGCACTCACATCACCCGGAATAGGGGGCCGGCCCAGCTCAAATTTCCGAATTGAATCTCGCCCACTAAAAAGAATCAGGGATGCGCAAGGCGAAGTATTAGATCACGCTCACAAACGTTGACAGTGGTACCGTCCAGCAGCTGCAGTTCGAACGTTTTTCCACCAGGGACGGTGAACGCGTTAATATTCACTGTCGTGCATTGGGTAGCACTGCTAACGTCGTCCAAGGATGAGATTGTACCGACGCAGCCACTGCTGCTGGCTGCAGCGACTGCAGTAATGCCGGCCACGAGGAAACCAAGAGCTAACGAGGGAAACATGTCGATTAGTGTGAGCGAGTAGCCTAGCCTAGCCTTAAATCTGCCAGAGGATACGGCTGTCGGTGAAGGTAAATTGATCTTGCACACAAACTCTATTTGCCGATCTGATATATGGAGTTTATTGCTTAGGCGGTATGCAGCGTAGGCTATGGAAAGCGGGAGTGATCAGCTCGGCAAAAATGACATTATTTGCCTAGTACCCCCTGCCACTCCGAGCCCTCAATCACATTGCACGGCACCGAACAGCTTGTGAGAGTATTCATCCTCTATCGAGGTGTCTGAAATGACCGGTCTGTGGATGAGTCCGTGGTGCTGGTGTACCGCGTGCCCCTTAGGGAGTTCCTAAGGCGAGACAAGTCTCAGAGATGCGTTTCGTCCTCTAACGAAACCAGGTCCAACAGACCGCGAGAATATGGGAAATGTGTTGACTGCAGCAATTTTGATTGTCGCTGGTCTCCAGTAGTAACTGGCCTCAGTGATGGAAGATGTGACAGACTGACAGTCAATATTAGGCCCACTCATCATCTTCGTCGTCATAACCGTCAATATGTGTGCATTATGTCAGCTACTGAGCCCACCTTCATCTACTCCAAGTCTGAGCCTTTTCTGAACGGATCGGGGAAATTGAAGTATGGCGCGGGGGTGGGACTGTATGAAAGTTGGAAACGCAGTGACCCTGCAGGTGGGAGGCCTGCCGAACTTGTCTGCAGGATTACCGGAGACAACGAGGTGGAAGCGATTTAATTGCAAGTGATGTAAGCTCAGGATTGCTCTCGCAATATATCTTTCCGGCTAACAATCCATGTTACCAGCAATTTCAGGAAGAAAAGGCCGGTGCTCGGATAGAGGTGTGATAGGGCGTGTTGAGGGTTGAAGGGACAACGCATGGAAGTAGCTATGGTAGTTGCCACACTGCGACGAGCCCTTCATGGATGTGCCACTGATCGCAACCGGCGTTAAAAGAGGGCGGGATTTTAAGCACAGGACAGCCAAGCATCAACTACTTCATGATGGTATCCAGACGATGATCCCGGGCAAGTATAACATTGTAGCTAGGGATATTATTTCTATTCAGCCTGTTGGTCTGCCCGCTTCTGCCAAACAAGACCAATCCCAGGAGTATACTAAGAACGAACTTACGTACAGGTTCAGTTCGAGCAGTATGACAAAATCGGCAATTGCATTCGCGCGAATTATGCTGTAATCTACTGTTACGAATATTTCCACCAGCGACTCGAAAACGCGATATAGGACCGTGATGATAATGCGGGGCACGACAGCGAGCGGCGAGCAACCTGACAGTAGTGAATAATGGCAACGAAAGGGATAATGCAGCAATGACACAGGCAAGGAAGCAGACAATGTGAGTACATCTGCAGAGAAATATTCAAGTACCATTTGAGAATAGAAGCAACAACACATACACCTGAAACCACAAGACCCTGGAGGAAGGCAACGGCAAACAAGCTGCAATTGGGAAGGTAGTGGTGAGAAGAAAGGGGGAAATCATTGGGCCCTGGGGTTGTCTGGAATTCCCAAAGTAAGTTGAAAACTTACTCAAACACAAGACTCGGTATTGCGCGAGAAATCGAGCTTTGGAGAGTAAGCTTAGGGTATAGCACGGGTATACCCGAGCTTGAATTCGAGAGGCTATCGAAACGAGCGGTCTTCGTTGTTGATGAATATTGAAAGGTCACACGAAGATGGAGCGCACTGCGCAGGTTGAATCTGTTCGTTCAACGTTGGCCTCAAAGACTAGCTCGTAGAACTCTCTTTTGATGGGGCCAACGAGACTTCGATCGTGTTTCGTGACGAACGTACTAACTTAAATCGGAAGTGTGGACGAGAATGAGCAGCAACTTTCCAGTTCTGTTGCTGTGCTGGCGCTGCGGGCCATTGCGGGTTCAGATGATGAAGCAATGACTGGGGGGTTGTCGATGTTGCCAGCAGGTTATTCCATAATCGACTGAATACGTTCGTCTGACAGCAATACCGATTGTGCCAAACTAATCAGAATCCTGCCAATAAGGATATGCATAGTATAAAAGCTGGTTATCGTCCTACAGTGTTTCCTCATTGTCAGATATCATTCGAGGATCCCCTCAGGAAATCACATATCACCTCGCACAGAAAATGCGTCTGTCCTTCTTCGCCATTGTTACTGCTTTGACAGCATCTATGTCTGTCAGCGCACAGTGTGTCGGCACAACTGCACCTTGCCTATACGATTGGGATTGCTGCCCTCCATTGACGTGTGGAAATTATGAAATCGTGAGTATGAGCAGGTCGCTATGCAGCCAGGATTCAACCATATGACTCACCTGCGCACCTTAGCTCCGAACCCCTGGTGCTGATTGTATATGCGTCTACCCAGACATAGATTGAGCCGGCAGCTCGAGTGGCACGTCGCGATAAGCCTGAGACGGACGATAAAATAGATGGACCGCTCAACAGTATCATGAGACAGTGAGCATGACGTCGCAGGGTGCTATTATCCACTACCACTGGCAGATGCCAGGTCTGTCACCGTCTGTGAAGCAAGCTAGAATCTGGAGCTGAATGCTGGAAGGACGATGTCAAAGCTAGAATAGCCCACGCAATGCAAATGTTCATAAACGACGTGGTCCAATAATTATTTGACTTGATGAATCTGTAAGCTGTATGACACCGGACTACGCATGAATGCGAAGGAGTCACCGAGTTGACGGAGTGATGTAAAATTGTGTTGCACAGATACACACATTGAAGTTGTTTTAAAACAACGAATACATGCATCTAGCAAACATGTGCGTTGTGACCGACGTCGACGACACGAGCAACGCATTGATACAAGTCCAGGTTTTACGATGCAATGCACAGACGATCATGACGGTGTTGACAATTGTTGAAGATTATACAATATTATAAGATAAATTATATGTCTAATTAAAAAAATATTTTATACTATCCTAGCCGTCGGGCGCCAAGTCACCTTTCCATATCCTCACCCATGTCATACTTCCTTCCACACCTACCCAGTGGCTGGCACGTCGATGAAGCCATCAAATCTGAAGAGGACCGTGTCGTTGTGATCCGCTTTGGCCACGACTGGGACCATCAATGCATGACGATGGACGAGACCCTCTACTCTGTCGCAGAGAAAGTGCAGAACTTTGCGGTCATCTACCTCGTAGATATCACTGAAGTTCCGGATTTCAACAAGGTGTGGATGTTTCACAGGTCTTGTTCCACTTGCGCTAACTATCGATCGTCGCACAATGATACAGATGTACGAGTTATACGATCCGTGCACCGTCATGTTCTTCTATCGGTATGGTTTGATACCCCCATTTTACCAGATATGCAGCTGAAACATTGTACGTCAGTAACAAGCATATCATGATTGATCTCGGAACTGGTAACAACAACAAGATGTAGGTGGCGCATTCACCCTGCACATTGATCTATCTCAAACATTGCATCGCCTGCTACCACAGAAACTGGGCAATGAACCACAAACAGGAGGTACGTTATGATTTGTCTAGTAGGTCCACATTGTTGACGTATCTCATCCCAGCTGATTGATATCGTCGAAACTGTTTACCGCGGAGCCTCCAAGGGCCGTGGTCTTGTCGTATCTCCCAAAGGTTTGTATCTGAATATCATCATAATTGTACTCGGGCTCAACGTCACCTCAGATTACTCCACTCGTTACAGGTATTAGACTTATCTCTGTGCCTCTTGCGGTCTTCTACCCTGCACTCGTGCCAAATTATGTATAGCAACAAACGTGATGTATACCTGTGTGTTTCCCGCTTTTTACTGTTATCGGATGTTCATGAGTAACCCCATTATTATTGTTGTCTCTCAATTATTGCTATCAGAGAACAACAAAGAAGAAACTCTATCCTAGCCCCTCATAACGCCACATGTGATGCACGAACTCAGGGACCAGCCTGTGGTATGGGGTGCCGTTTCTTCCATATACAGCAATGCACATGTAAGCGCAGGGCAAGGTACAATTTGAGGGGCCACATCGAGTATTGCCCGGGACCGACCTTTTGCGAACGCGTGTGGATATCTAGGAACGATACAATAATCAAGTTTCCCTAGCCACAACGAATAAACTATTCGAGATTGGGGCGTCTTATAACGCATCCAGTACTTATAAAGGTTCACAAATTCAGGCAAGGAGGCAAGACGAATCTATGATAGGGAGCAACCACAGAACCCTTGGTCCTCGCTGCTAACTTACCTCTACCATAACCAGGCGACACACGATGAGCACGCACCTGCTGTTCATCGTGAATCCTGGTGCGTTTACAGGGTTTTTGTAATGCCAGTCTCATCACGCACGCTTCACATACTTCACAAGAAAGAGTCGCTTGAAAGAATCGGACGTTACCTGTTCAACACCAGAACTGCTCAGTCGGACGCCCAGTCTCAATGACAATGAGCTACAGCAAATAACTGATAGCCTTGTGAGGTCACCGTTACTACGAGTCAACTCGTACAAAATCTTCAATATGAAATGAACACTTGACCTCAAGAAACCTAGTCGGCCCTAGTCAGACTCGCCATATGGGAGGAAGACGGTCGATCCTTCTTGATTCAAGATATATCGCAGACATTCTGCAGAATGCCGACTGGCCCGTCTGGGAAACGATGACAGCCAACGGGGTTTACAAAACCCCGCTCGATATTTTGAACACTGCCAATATGATTATTGAAATGGAAATGTTGCATGTTCATGCTTTGCCTCGACTCTGCCTGCCCATCTCCTTATCTGCCCACTGCCTTTTTTCGCATCCGTCAACCCTTTGTCCTTTGCGCGCTACCTGGTTGGTAATGTCTTCGCTGCCACAAGCAGATGCCGCCTTGCAGATTTCACGCCAGCTTCTCTCTATGTACATCACCAATTGGCAATTTGGCATCCTTCTTGATTGTGCAGGCTGCGGCGCTGCCATTCCTATCGCAGTGTCCTGAACGGGATCTCGCGCATGCCGATGGCAAAGGTATGTGCTTACTGTGCGGTTGATAGATGGTAGATAACACGGTCTATTGATGTATCGAATATATTATAGTCACTATATAAGTGGGAAGCATCCACGTTTTGAGACACCGTGGGCTTTTAACAGGCTCCCAGCGTCCATGGAAACTTAGGCCCTTTGCGCCATTGCCAGCAAAGAGTGAACCAGGTGAAGAAATAATGACGTACATAGCGACTTTCGTACTCCGTTTGGAGGTACCGATGACGGGTCCACCGTCTCCCAGTCTTTGATCCAGATCTTTGGCCCGTCCCGAACCGGCCAGAATTCCAATTCAAAGATGAGTCGTCCGTGTCAAGCTCTGAGTCTGCTTTAATTGGTCTCATTCTGCCTCGTGGCAGAAGTAACGGACCGTAGAAGGTAGAACTAGAGAAGAAGGGGATAATATAGGGGTGGTCGACAAAAAATAAACGCTAGTGTGACGGCGGAAAGATGAGAAGAAGCAAAGTCCTGCGAATTGCCTGCCTGCACTCAGATCTCCGCATAGATTACTTAGCGCCCAGAGCGTGTGCCAGTGCCACATTAAAATTGGCAAGGTATAGAGCCCGCGCTGATCAAAAGTATCAACCGATTAGACTAGTATTTAGACTACAATGTATTAAGAAAATTAGACTCAATGAAATACGACCCGAATGGGCACTGGATCTGTTTTTCTCATACTCTTTTTCTGATTATGGTTCATCTACATACTGTCGTACTAGTCTCATTCGATTCTACAACTTTCATAGAAATTTATCAGGCTCCTTTTCCATGTTCATCAAGCCTGGTCTGCAACGTTCTCCGCGCTTGCAAAGCTCCAAGTCGAACTCTCCTCCATCTAGTTCGCTTACTGACATATGTACGAAGCCATTAAGTTATCTGAAAGTGCAAGGACATCCGATAGTTTTCCTGTTGGTACAGTCAATTTGAGCCCCACAGACGAGCACCCTGCACAAGCCTCACGCTGAATGCTATTATAAATATTGCTGACCGCTACTCACGGATAATCTCATTTATCTCGTCACGAAGGCAGACGGGTAAAGACTCCATCATAATCGTCCTCCTTTGCGTCTTAGAATGAGCCGCAACATCTCACATTAATAGTTGTGCTGCTTCTGCAGAGGCCAGCCTAGAGTTAACCTGCCGCGCGGACGCGATAACGTTAACAAAGGCTGTGGTAACACAACATTGTCTGATTGCTTGCGATGGTGCTGCAATGCTTTGAAGACGTAACGCTGATGAACACACGAAGTCTCGAACTTCCATTTTACCGTGCGAACCTTATAGTGCGCACGCGCGCGATGAACTGTGAGACCACGCAATTGGAAATTGTCAATAAGCATGTGAAGAGATGGCATAAGAACCGGGAAAAAACGGCTGCAGGGTAGAGTGAGGCTGAAGGCAATATATATGCAGGGATAGGGCTGTTCGTCGTACCCGTATGGAAATATATAGCTCCGTCACATGGCCGCTGTATTGAACACCTCATGAAAAGAAAAGCCTGAATGAGGCTGAATGTGCCAACATAGCTTCGCCATCCCGAAAAGCAGGATATCAGAAGCAATCAGCTGCTTATCTAGGTGTATTCATCAGTGTGTGTAACCACGTACGAATGGAACAGTAACCACGACACACATGGATCACTCCCTAGTGTTTTAGAAGATGAAATGCACTTGGATAAAGCGTGTGATAGATCAAGTTTGTTGTCAGTAATTAATACGCCTCAAATGAGCCGTGTAGTCGAGGAAGGCGAATAGCAAACTTAGCGTGTGAGACATCTTCAGAGTAGTCCGATGACGGAAATAGAATCCGGAAACCTCGATGCTACAGACGAAAAGTCACCTACAGGAGGCCCTAATTCGAGTTAGGTCTAGGAATTTACACAGTAATAGTTAAATTTTGCATGTTCACCTATATTTCTCGACTGCGGCATGGAAGGTACACCCAACTTGAGCCGCAGCGAGGACACAGGAGGCCACATGCACTTGGCAGTAGTTATAGTCCACGTCAGATGAGAGATGAGAGATGTAAATCATGCAGTGGATATTAGGATACGAGTCCACGTCATCTATACTATATAATTTCAGACTTTACCAATTCATTCTTGAAGATAAAGATACCAGATGATCAAGCCGCATCGGTTTTACATTCATGCAGTCAAGATTTGCTGGCAAAGTTGGCGGTGCGTATTCATGGGGATTGGTTGGCAGTAGGATGGCTCGGAAATGAAGGTAAACAGCCGCCACAGCGGGGAGGAAATAGGAGGACACATGCTGTGGTCCACGTCAGATGGGAGATGCAATGGAATCATTATGGATCTCCACGTCTATCAGACGGAACACCGATTGGCGAATTAGGCAATACTATCTCACGATTTTCCTTTGTTATCAGATAAGCTCGAACCATACTTATATTCACGCAGTTACAGCTTGTCAAGCAACCGGAGCTACTTCCCTTCCGAGTCCTGCATCATGTCCGCTGCCAAAAAGGCCTCCCATCCGTCTTCGACGTCCATGCACACAACATTTCCTACAAGAACGGTCGTCGTTCTTGGCGGTTCCTACGGAGGTGTGTTCAACACGAGTGGCGTTGAAATTATTTTTTACTGACTCTCCTCCAATCACCATCCAGGCTCAAGAGCTGCTCAAGTTCTTGCGAAGGGTATGCCGCAGGGTTGGAGAGTTGTTTTGGTAGATAGAAATTCGTACGTCGTCCTGGTTTCTAATTCGGTAGATGTATTTTCCGTTGACCTCCGATGTCCCTCAGACATATGAATCGTGAGAGCTTTACTATTTTCGAGCTCGGAAGAAGATTAATTTTGTGTTTTAGACGTTTACAACTTTCCTAGATATGCTGTTCTAGCCGGTCACGAACATAAAGCATGTAAGCGTGCACTCGATCCGCATGCTCCAGATATTAACCCCTCTTTTATTAGTTATTCCATACAATAACTTCCCTACTAGTTCTCTGTCAGACGTTCCTTCGTGTTCATCTCATGTTCGGGTGCAAGCAACTATCATCTCGATAGACGACCATCGCATCACCCTCTCTCCGAATCTGCCAGGATCACAACAATCATACGTGGACTTGGAGTTTGACTATGCCATTTATGCTCTCGGCTCCCACTTGCCCCAGCCCATAGACCTTTGGAGTCACCAAAAAGAAGGTATAGTGAAGTCGAGTTTGGAACCACCAGAAATACCGACCTACGGAGGAACGAAGTCGGAGGGTATCTCATCCCTCCAAGAACGCCAGAAACGCGTGGAGGCTGCCAGGTTCGTGTTGGTGGTAGGTGGCGGTGCACTTGGTATTCGTAAGTGACGTCATTATACCGCGGAAGCGTTTAATGATTATGATTATATGTAGAGTTTGCTTCCGATATCGCTGCCCTATACCCACAAAAGCACGTTACGCTTCTGCATTCTCGTCGTCGTTTATTGCCAAAGTTTGACGACGCGATGCATGAAGAGGGTGAGTCTTGTGTGTTGTCTATCAAGTGATTTCAACTCAGCGATGATGCAGCCCTTCAGGGTTTGCAGGAGCTGAACGTTAGGGTTATTCTTGGAGAGCGACTTGATTTCGAGTCTCTCCAACGCACATCCGCTACGCAAGGATCTTCCGAACCACGTGTAGTACGGACTCTATCAGGGCAGGAGATATCTGCTGACCTACTGGTAGGTGTTTCCAGATCAACGAGGGACAGGGAGCTAAATAAGCACGTTATCAGCTCCTATGCACTGGTCAAACACCGAACACGGGGCTCCTTCGCGACATGGACCCTCGTGCTGTATCGCCAGACACTGGACTGACACGTGTTCTGCGGACTATGCAACTTTGCGTCCCACCACCCTCTTTTGAGCCTCACAAGTTTCAGGCAGATGATGTCCTGCATTGTTTGAAGAAGTTAACTCTTGATACAGAAGAAGAGGTAGAATTGTCAGAATTATCGCCATCGTCGCCATCTGTCGCACGTACCGACATACCTGCGACGTCACCCCTCTCATCCACGGATACCCTGGTCGAGCCCTACCTATACCAAAAGACTTTATACCCGAATATCTTCGTCGTGGGCGATGCAGCAGATGCGTTCGACGCGATCAAAGCTGGGCATACGTCATATTATCAAGCGGAGGTTGCCGCCCGGAATATCCTGCGCCTCATCTCCCGAGATGAGAAAGTTGGGATTGCGGCCGGGGACGACCTAGGTTCGGAACTCGAGGAGTATGCGCCTGGGCCTCCGGCCATTAAAGTGACTCTTGGTATGACGAAGTCGGTCTATGAGGTGGACGGGGTTGTGGGCACGAAAACTGATGGTGTGGAAGATTTGAATGTTGCTGTTATGTGGGCGGCGCGTGGAATGCCCAATGTGAGTGAGGAGGAAATGTTTGGATAACTTGATGTTTCGGTTTGTGGGCGGGAAAGCGCTTCGCGCATTCGTCCCATTCCGTATAGTATTTGTTCGTACCGACTGCATGCAGTACTATCTTCGAAATATGTTTGCTATTGTTTTTCGATGAGTAGTAGTGGCAAGTTGCTATTGAGTTGCTAGATACGAGACTAAGGTTTTAAATTGCTCCTAGATTACCTGCCTCAACCTCAGTCAGGCAGTCACTGATGTTCCGTCCCAGCTTCAAGCCCTGGGCCTAAATAGGCCGAGCCAAGCCCAGGCCCACTGCCCAAGGCTTGGGCCTGGGGGAAAGCCTAAGCCGGCGGCTCAAGCCGCGGCTTACCAATGTAAATGAGTCACCGATCCTACCCATTCCTCTACACTCCCATTACTAAGTTATAGTTCTTTCTCAATGCCTGTCCTGTTTGTACGTCACTCCGAAGTTGACGTTCTCATTATTGGCGCTGGCCCTGCTGGTCTCATGCGCGCAAATGCCCTCACAAATGTGAGAGTGAATGTCCACATCGTCGACCAAAGATCAGTGGGTCGACCCTTCCATTCCTGCTTTCAACTCAACGTTTCATTAGGACCTCAAAAATAGCCACTAGTTAAGCTTTAAGATGGGCTTGCAGGATATGTGGTTCTTCACTTGTACAGGTTTGTTCTTCATTGTTCGTGTTCATTCTTGCCTGCTGCACTCATTTTCACCTGCACATGTTCATTCTCGCCTGCACGTACACTGCGCATGTAGACTCGACTCTGAATGGGGGACTAATATATTTGTTGGACAAGGTGTGTGTGTGTTTTCCGACATCACACGCACGGCTCACTTGAACTTGTCTGCACTTGCCCATGCCTCCACTCCTCCTTCCTGTGCCATCCACATATGTTCGAGTCACATCAGCATTCGCTGACGTGTGCTGGACATATGTGCTAAGCACTGGCAGCTGACCCACATGTTTACCCTCACAGGTAATACCCTGGGTCTGTGTGGGTACAGGTCCGACTGCGCACACCTGGGGGTATACCCGTGCAGTTCCCTATCCTGCACACCACCACCACCCGCTGCAACCACCACCCTACTCCAGCCAACAACCAGTGTCTAGCGCATGCGCCCAGCACACGCCAACATTTGCTGGCATGGCTAAGGTGAATGCGGATGACACTTTGGCGAAGGAGAAAGGAAGACGCCAGGGAAAAGAGAAAGCAGAAGAGGAACAAGGTGCGCCACCTATTCCCAACCTGCCTAATTCTCTGCAACTACCTGCCACGTGGCACCAGCCTACAGAGCCGCGGCCTGTTGGGCTCAAGCCCCCGGCTTGGGCCTGGCTTGGGCTCACAGCTCAGGCTCTAATTTTCCTAAGCCTGGGCCGCTCCAAGCCAAGCCTAAGCCAGGGCTTTAAGCCCAAGCCGGGCCTCAGGTAGTACTTAGTGCCATGGCTCGGCTACAGCCCGCTCTACTTACTTTGCGAAGCATGCAGGTCAGACTGCTGTTTCCAATAAAAAACATGTGTGTCCATAACCTATGCTGATACTTCTCTACAGTAGATAGGTGGATGTGGTATGATGGCGGTGTTTGGGAGAAGCGTGGGAATTATGTTGACTCAGGTCGAGACCGGAAATTGGCTGTGTTGTAGCCGACAAAGTTCATTCAAGTTGTGGCTATTGTAATGCGTTGGTGACAGCCTGATACATCAAAGGTATTGCACTTGCACTGATTTTAGAACACAGCTCTGCTACAGTTGCCCTGTTTTGATATTACTATGACACGAACTTGTGGCACATGATCACATCAGCACAGTCATGCAGGCCCATAAGTAACTTTACATACTGGATGTGGTCTTACCGACCGAGTGAAATAACGTGAATTGAATAATGCGCAGGGATAATTTCAGCATATGCTAGTGCTTACGGCCGATGAAGAATGAAATGATGCGAGCCAGACGCTGGCACAGATGGCAACAGACATACAAACGAACTTTAAAATTTTCAAAAAGGCGCTGCGACAGACTGCGACACAATAGAAGTTCGATCATTGGGGCATCCTTGATAGACGCTCGTCAAAACTAATATTAGAATGCGCGGACGAGACGCTGGCTATAATTTTGAAAGATGCGGGATGATCGGTTGTTCGTACATAGTAGTTCTTCCACTCAGACTGCACCGTACAGGTATCGGGTAAGGCCCGTCCTACTAGGAGAATGAGTCAGGTCCCCGCCTAGGCATGGCCTATGATTGCCGCTACTACCGTGGTTTTCAATGAAATTTCAAACCTCCTCCGATACCTCTCTCCTAATAGTCAGACTATATAGAGGGAAGACAGTCGTTCCTTGCTGATTCCAACATGTACAAGAACAACATAGACTGTGATGTCACGTATAACTGACCAGGCCATCTGAAAAGCCCTTCAGCACAAATCTCATGATAGGGGCAGTGAACCCGACTGCGGTGACAAGGCACATCATACTGGTAACTCAAACGCTCGGCACTCAGGCTTGGGGTAGACCTTTCATCTAAAATAGATGATATCGTTCAGATGACTTTGGGAATGCAAATTCAATCCCATGCGCGCGCGGAAATTAAGTTCGTATCGCGACCCTGATGGCTGGTTTCCAGCGACTGAACGTGCGCGTGAATTGATTGCACCAACTGAGCCTCCACCCAGTGCAGTACCATCCTGCATCACTCCGAGTCGGCCACATTTCAACTAGTACATTTATCTGCACTGCTACCCACAATGGTAGTCCACAATATATAAACTCGGACCTTCAACAGGAGTCAGACTCGTGTTCGAACGTTATATTTTCCTCACCTGTTACAAGACCTGTCAAATAGTAACTTATAACTGTATCTTTTCCGAGTACTGCATCATGTCCGTTGCTACAAAGGCGTCTCATCTGTCTGCGACAGAATTTCCTACAAAGACGGTCGTCGTCCTAGGCGGTTCCTACGGAGGTGTGTTTTTAACACCAGCGGTGTTGAAATTGGTTTTTATTGACCCTCGTCCAATCACCGTCTAGGTTCAAGAGCTGCTCACCTTCTTGCAGAGGGCATACCACAGGGTTGGAGAGTTGTTTTGGTTGATAGAAATTCGTACGTTGTCCTGGTTTCTGATTCAATGGATGTTCCGTTAACCTCTGATGTCTTCAGGCATAGGAATCGTGAGAACTTTGCTACTTTCCAGCTCGGAATGGATATTCATTTTGCGTTTCAGATTTTTACAACTTTTCTAGATATGCTGTTCTTGCTGGTCACGAACACAAAGCGTGTAAGTGTGCACTTGATCCACATACGCGACTCTGGGCAGATACTAACTTCGTTGCCATCAGTTATCCCGTACAACATTAATAACATCACTTCTAGTTCCCTGTCAGATCTTCCTTCATGTACATCTCACGTTCGGGTGCAAGCAACTATCACCTCCTTAGACGACCATCGCATCACTCTCTCTCCAAATCTGCCAGGATCACAAGAATCAGACTTGGACTTGGAGTTTGACTATGCCATTTATGCTCTCGGTTCCCACTTGCCCCAGCCTATAGACCTTTGGAATCACCAAAAAGGTGTAAAGTCAAGTTTGCAACCATCAGCAATATCAACGTATGGAGGAACGAAGTCGGAGGGTATCTCATCCCTGCAGGAACGACAGAAACGTGTCGAGGCTGCCAGGTCTGTGTTGGTCGTAGGCGGCGGTGCGCTTGGCATTCGTAAGTGACGTCATTACATCACGGAAGACACGTTTCATAGTTATATATAGAGTTCGCATCCGACATCGCTGCTATATACCCGCAAAAGCGCGTCACGCTTCTGCATTCCCGTCGTCGTCTATTGCCAAAGTTCGATGAGGCGATGCATGAAGAGGGTGGGTCTTGCATGTCATCTATTAAGTGATTCCAACTCAGCGATGATATAGCCCTTCAGGGTTTGCAGGAGCTTAACGTTCGGGTTGTTCTTGGAGAGCGACTTGATTTTGAGTCTCTCCAACACAAATCCGCTACGCCAGGGTCTCCAGAACCACGTGTAGTACGGACTCTATCAGGGCGTGAAATACCTGCCGACCTGCTGGTAGGTTTTTCCATATTAACGAGGAACAACAAGCTAAATGAGACCGTCATTAGCTCCTATGCACTGGTCAAACACCGAACACGGGGCTCCTTCGCGACATGGACCCTCGTGCTGTATCACCAGACACTGGACTAGCACGTGTTCTGCGCACTATGCAACTTTGCGTCCCACCACCTTCTGAGTCTCACAAGCTTCAGGCAGATGATGTCCTACATTATCTAAAGAAGTTAACTCTTGATGCAGAAGAAGGGTCAGAGTCGTCGTCGCCATCGTCGCCAACTAGCACACATGCCGACATGCCTTCGACGTCACCCCTCTCATCCACGGATACCCTGGTCGAGCCCCACCTATGCCAAAAGACTTTGTACTCCAACATCTTTGTCGTGGGCGATGCAGCAGACGCGTTCGACGCGATCAAAGCGGGACATACATCATATTATCAAGCGGAGGTTGCTGCCCGCAATATCCTACGCCTCATTTCTCGAAATGAGAAAGTTGGGATTACGGCTGGGGACAACCTAGATTCGGAGCTCGAGGAGTATGCGCCCGGGGCTCCGGCCATTAAAGTGACCCTTGGTATAACGAAGTCGGTATATGAGTCGAATGGGGTTGTGGGCACGAAGAATGATGGTGTGGAAGATTTGGGTGTTTCGGTTATGTGGGCGGCGTGTGGGATGCGGGATGTGAGCGATGAGGATATGTTTGCGTAATTTGGTTTTTTTTTTCGAGCGGGGATGGTCCCATAATTTTCTTTCGTATCAGGAGAATTCTCCCATGTAAACTTACAACTTTAATTAGATTTCGCCGGGTGCGAAAATTAATGGTAGCTAGCTCTAGGAATGATAATCTAGTGCATGCTAATGATAATTATTGGCAACCAGTGCGGTGTCACAAAATTATGCCGAACCAATGCGAGGTTTATGATTAGGTGCAGATAGTCTGTAGCAGGCTGAGCATGTGTTTTTATGATCTAATGTAAAACATTGCATGAGAGACAAGTAGGCACCACCAATATTAATGTGACAGACACAAGCTCTTGTATCACGAGGGTGAATATAATACAAAAATGTCTACTTCGATTGGCCCGCTCAGCATTTTGAAATTGTAGTATATCCACAAGATGTCAAGATCGAACAGATTTAGCTAATCCCAATGTGAGCCAAAAGCAATGAACCTCCGACACATCACGTGACTTACCGTCGGCATCCAAACAGGACAAACGACTCCACTAGGAGGGAACATACCTTGTTTCGCCCACCTTTTTCCTCGGAGTCTAAGCTTCAACGGAACCGCACGATACTGTTCTGGTTACATCTATAGCTCGTTCCCCTCTATTGGGGTCTGTCCCACCATGGCAACGCGCATCGATGCATATTGATGTACTGGACTCGGAACAGGTCCGAGTGAACGAGGGAAACTCAATCGATCCTCGGACGACAAAGTCGGCGGGGATGGTGACCTCATGGATACATTCAATCAGCCGCTCGACACAGGTCATTCCAGGAACGAACGCTCACGCATAGCAAGGATATTTGCGACTTAATCTGTGGCAGCCTTGAGAGTATCAAATTCGATTCAATGATTGTAGCTATGAATGCTTACCATTTCGAACGAAGCGGTTCATCATCTCTTCGGCTTGCAGACGGCTGTCTCAGTCAGGAACGACGGGAAAGTTCATCTCGAACACGGAGCCGAGTGGCATGGGAAAATGACACTGCAAGTGTGATGTCTTATCGTGTCCATACCAGATCCTACTCACTCTTTGCATGATGATAGCTTAATCCCACTAGAATGTACCCCATATTTTCTCATTCATTATCATTGTCATACTATAGTCAATCCAGTCTTCGACAGGGACATTTTGAAGGAACAAGAACTCAGAAAATAACGAGTGGATACTGGCGGTACGTCACGTCACGTGTAGGAGAAGTATTCGTGCGTCTGCGTCAACGTTCAACCACAAGTACAATCCCAGCCCTACAACACCCTACAGCCAACTGTCACCTCTCCTGCATCCATTTATGACTCCCACACAATTCCTGCATCTGCGCTGCATTTGCATCGTGTTTGGCATGTCAAATACTTGCAACCTCGTGCCAACCAGCCGTGTTCAGTGTCTCGCACTTCTGGACGATAATGAGAAGATAACGTTTTGAGGTCTTACATGGATCGCGTACAGGTGTTCTATTTTCTTTTATGATAAGGCAATGTCACTGGTTTGTGTTCATTATTTGCACATGTGAACCTTCGTTCGCACTCGCGTCTGACACCCTGCTTGTGCATGCTGGAATCTCAGTGAGCGTTCTTTCACGATCTGCATTCCATATTTTTAAAATGGCTAATTTAATGACATTTATAGGTATCATTCGTGGGTAAAGCCCGCATGGGCGCAGGTGAGGGTACGGGCGCGCCGTGCCAAGCAAAAACCCGTACCCTTGGGTTTACCAATGCATTTATCTAAACCTGGGTAAGACAGCGTGGCTGGTTGACTTAAAAATTATCATTCCTCCACGAGGTAGAGTAACCTCCACCAGGTTTACAGAAATTCTTGTGTGACATGGCGTCATACTAGTCTGTTCACAAGTCCATTTATGTGCGAGTTCCGACTTCACAATATATAGGCTTGGGGCTCCCAAACAGATGCTCACTCGATATATTTTCCTCAAGTATATAGGGCCTGTGAAGTAGTAATTTTAAACTGCTTCTTCTCTACATTCAATCCAGAGATCTTCTACTCGTGTTGATTCACAACTGAATTTATCTACTTGTGAGTGGGCACTGAGTACTGAGTGGGCGATCGTCAGGCGATCAATTTTGTCTGGAGACAAGAATTGATGTTTTATCGTCAGGGATTACTTTAAAGTGGGGAACAATACACGCAAATAGAAGCGCACAATCCCGGCTTCACCCTCGAAATACCACTGTTCCTTGGCAAAACAATGACATTGTTCAACGTTCAACGTTCAAACGTTCAACCCTACACAGAACTTTGATCGACTCGGCAATGAACTACATATCCGTATCGCCGCAAGTCCCTGACTTCGATTGGTTCACAATGATTCTTTTGTCTCGACGTACGCAATGTTAGTGACTATATCATCAAGTCAAATAATTATTGGACCACATTGTTTATGAACATTTGCATGGGCGTAGCTATTTTGACGCGGTCCTGCCGCGGTCGTGACATGGTCGTGACGCGGCCGTGACGCGGCGTGACGCGCATGTGACGCGGCACTGACGAGCCTTGACGCGGCACTAACCAGCCTTTGACGCGGCCACTGCAGGCCATACTGTAAGAATGATACATTAAATACCTACAATTGTAGATGAAATGTGATACAATAATTACTGAAGTCCATAGATACCTATCATTGTAGGGCTGATATATCAATGGAGGATCCTGTCAGGACACTCCCATAATAATCTCACACCCCTAATTTTCGCATTTTTGACCACCTACTGTGGGAATTTCCCCACAACACTTAAAAATAGATTGCTTCTCCACATTTTCGCATTTTTAGCCACCCCACTACACCTAAAACATCACCCATTTTGGGAATCTCCACAATATCAATTATTCCCACACCCTCCCCACCTCACTGCAGCTTCACCACCACACCACAATAGGTCCCCTCTTGTATCTAAGTAGTAGTTTGGTATATATATGTATAATATAATGTAATAGACCGCTTTTTTTGCTTATTTGTGTGCCTGCTCCTCCTCTAGAGGCCATTTAACATATGTTAGAGTAAAGAACACTTTCGCACTTTTGCCCCTTTGGTGGGAAAGTGTTCTATTATATTCAAAACATGTTTATGAGCATATATGAGTATATTCCCATCTTTATTTGACCCCCTGAAGCGCCCTACATCAATAGATATAGCACATATGCAAGAAAACACAGAATATGTTCCTATTTAATTATTTCTAGGTGGACAGACTTGGAAAAATAATTCCCAGTATCTATTCAACAATATGAACAATGTATCAGGAGCCCAGGACCATGGGATAATTTCCTGTTGCATGGTGTGCCCCCCCTCTCCTGGTGGTTTACCCCCTGTGAAAAATTTTCCTACAGGACCGGACCTTAATTGAGGTGAGGGGTCTATTTCTATGTATATTTGGAGTAGATCTATCATATAGCTGGCCCAGAACACACATAGGATCCTGCTACAAAAACAAAAACATAGAAAATCTCACTTTTGACACTTTTGATGTTTTTTAGTATCTTACTCTTGCATAAATAACCATCCCTGCTCACATATTATCAGTAGTACATTCACACATATGTTCTATGCCAAGGATCAGCCCTACATAGGGCGCAAATTTGATATCTGATGTACAGGAGGTATTTCTACTGATAGGAAACCTACAGAGTAATCCAGCCTGTGATAAGTGATCAGATACCTGGGATACAGCACTCAATTCTTGTTGGATTGTTTTGTAAATTTAGGTATATGATAGTGAATGTACTTTAAATCTACTCCAAGTGTCTGATTATTAAATTTCGATGTTTTGAAAGTATGGGCTCCTTATCAGTAGAAATACCTCCTGTACATCAGATATCAAATTTGCGCCCTATGTAGGGCTGATCCTTGGCATAGAACATATGTGTGAATGTACTACTGATAATATGTGAGCAGGGATGGTTATTTATGCAAGAGTAAGATACTAAAAAACATCAAAAGTGTCAAAAGTGAGATTTTCTATGTTTTTGTTTTTGTAGCAGGATCCTATGTGTGTTCTGGGCCAGCTATATGATAGATCTACTCCAAATATACATAGAAATAGACCCCTCACCTCAATTAAGGTCCGGTCCTGTAGGAAAATTTTTCACAGGGGGTAAACCACCAGGAGAGGGGGGGCACACCATGCAACAGGAAATTATCCCATGGTCCTGGGCTCCTGATACATTGTTCATATTGTTGAATAGATACTGGGAATTATTTTTCCAAGTCTGTCCACCTAGAAATAATTAAATAGGAACATATTCTGTGTTTTCTTGCATATGTGCTATATCTATTGATGTAGGGCGCTTCAGGGGGTCAAATAAAGATGGGAATATACTCATATATGCTCATAAACATGTTTTGAATATAATAGAACACTTTCCCACCAAAGGGGCAAAAGTGCGAAAGTGTTCTTTACTCTAACATATGTTAAATGGCCTCTAGAGGAGGAGCAGGCACACAAATAAGCAAAAAAAGCGGTCTATTACATTATATTATACATATATATACCAAACTACTACTTAGATACAAGAGGGGACCTATTGTGGTGTGGTGGTGAAGCTGCAGTGAGGTGGGGAGGGTGTGGGAATAATTGATATTGTGGAGATTCCCAAAATGGGTGATGTTTTAGGTGTAGTGGGGTGGCTAAAAATGCGAAAATGTGGAGAAGCAATCTATTTTTAAGTGTTGTGGGGAAATTCCCACAGTAGGTGGTCAAAAATGCGAAAATTAGGGGTGTGAGATTATTATGGGAGTGTCCTGACAGGATCCTCCATTGATATATCAGCCCTACAATGATAGGTATCTATGGACTTCAGTAATTATTGTATCACATTTCATCTACAATTGTAAGAAGTGATACATCAAACCTACAGGTACAGGTGGCCACTGACGCGCCATTCCTATATTCTATATTCCACTTCCAGATCAAGTTGGATGAGTTCACGACCATTCCTTTGTTACTTTATTTGCCTCAGAGCCATGTACAACTAGGTATACATAAGCCAATGACTATTTTCTTTTCCTTCCTCTCTGGACCCTTCGAGCCTGTGGAGCACAGGGCAGACATTCTTCGGCCGGCAGAGAAGGAACTACAGTTTCGGATAGCTCGTCTGCAGACTCCAAAGATGTAGCATCAGAGTTATCACTGAATAAG